ATTTCTGACATTCAAAACAAAAACAAATCAGTGACCAATATAGCCACCTTTCTTTGCAAGGACACTCAAAAGCCTGCCATCCATGGATTCTGTCAGTGTTTTGATCTGTTCACCATCAACATTGCGTGCAGCAGCAACCACAACCTCCCAGACACTGTTCAGAGAGGTGTACTGTTTTCCCTCCTTGTAAATCTCACATTTGATGATGGACCACAGGTTCTCAATGGGGTTCAGATCAGATGAACAAGGAGGCCATGTCATTAGATTTCCTTCTTTTATACCCTTTCTTGCCAGCCACGCTGTGGAGTACTTGGACGCGTGTGATGGAGCATTGTCCTGCATGAAAATCATGTTTTTCTTGAAGGATGCAGACTTCTTCCTGTAACACTGCTTGAAGAAGGTGTCTTCCAGGAACTGGCAGTAGGACTGGGAGTTGAGCTTGACTCCATCCTCAGCCCGAAAAGGCCCCACAAGCTCATCTTTGATGATACCAGCCCAAACCAGTACTCCACCTCCACCTTGCTGGCGTCTGAGTCGGACTGGAGCTCTCTGCCCTTTACCAATCCAGCCACGGGCCCATCCATCTGGCCCATCAAGACTCACTCTTATTTCATCAGTCCATAAAACCTTAGAAAAATCAGTCTTGAGATATTTCTTGGCCCAGTCTTGACGTTTCAGCTTGTGTGTCTTGTTCAGTGGTGGTCGTCTTTCAGCCTTTCTTACCTTGGCCATGTCTCTGAGTATTGCACACCTTATGCTTTTGGGCACTCCAGTGATGTTGCAGCTCTGAAATATGGCCAAACTGGTGGCAAGTGGCATCGTGGCAGCTGCACGCTTGACTTTTCTCAGTTCATGGGCAGTTATTTTGCGCCTTGGTTTTTCCACACGCTTCTTGCGACCCTGTTGACTATTTTGAATGAAACGCTTGATTGTTCGATGATCACGCTTCAGAAGCTTTGCAATTTTAAGAGTGCTGCATCCCTCTGCAAGATATCTCACTATTTTTGACTTTTCTGAGCCTGTCAAGTCCTTCTTTTGACCCATTTTGCCAAAGGAAAGGAAGTTGCCTAATAATTATGCACACCTGATATAGGGTGTTGATGTCATTAGACCACACCCCTTCTCATTACAGAGATGCACATCACCTAATATGCTTAATTGGTAGTAGGCTTTCGAGCCTATACAGCTTGGAGTAAGACAACATGCATAAAGAGGATGATGTGGTCAAAATACTCATTTGCCTAATAATTCTGCACTCCCTGTATTGTTTGTGAATTAGTGCTTACCTTTTATTGTTCTTGGTGTTCCTATATTGTTTGAATAGACACTATTTGGACACGCTGAACCACTGAGCAAATAAGATTTGGTCGACAGTATTGCATTTTTTGGGGGGCCCATCAATTCAGCCAAACCACTTTTTCTGCCGTGCACAAGTCTTGTAAACATCGTGAAATATTACTTTTCCTGCTCTTAAAATTTTTTGGGAATATAATTTTCCCAATTACTTTAACCCAACTCTACTTGTTCTGTCTTTGTGTGTGAATTGTTCTCTAAGCATATTGCTTATATTAGCACTATAATTAAAACCTCTGCATAGGGTAAGAATTTAAAGAGGGGTAAAGACCGGTATAGACACGTTCTGTGTAGCCAAAAATCCTTGCACTGCCCTGCTTGCAACATAACCAGTACAATGTGAATATATAGACCACCCAAGATGCAGCGTAAATATATAATAAATGCAAAAAGGTAATTACCCCTTTCAAATACAAGGTATAACAAAGGATTCCTCTCAATTCTTAAATACAAATAGCAAAAGTAGGATATACCTAAAAACACATATGGTAATAACATTTAAATATATAGAATCGCCAGAATTCAGGCTCATTAAATTTCATCTGCCATTTGAGTGCCCAGTCCCCCAGTCTATCTAAATCCCTCTGCAGCAAAGTAATATCTTGCTCACATTGTATTATTTTACAAAGTTTTGTGTCATCTGCAAACACTGAAACATGACTTTCAATGCTGTCTTCAAGATCATTTATAAACATGTTAAATAGAAGGGGTCCCAGAACAGACCCCTGAGGGACACCACTTGCCACCTCTGTCCAGCTTGAAAATTACCATTAATGACAACTCTTTGTACTCTGTTTTTAAGCCAATGTTCTACCCAAGAACAAGCATTTTCATCTAGAGCGATTTCCTTGAGTTTGAACACTAATCTATTGTGTGGAACTGTATCAAATGCCTTGGCAAAATCCAAATAGATCACATCCATGGCAACACCCTGATCTATACTTCTACTTACTTCTTCGTAGAACGCAATCAAGTTAGTTTGACATGACCTGTGCTTCATAAAACCGTGCTGATTTTTGCTGATAACCATGTTCTTCTCAAGGAATTCTTGAATATTATCCATTAATAACCTTTCAAATATTTTACCAGCCACAGAAGTTAAGCTCACAGGTCTATAATTTCCAGGCAAGGATTTTGAGCCCTTTTTGAATATAGGAACCACATCTGCCTTCCTCCAATCCTCCGGAACACTTCCTGAAAGAAAAGAATCTTGAAAGATTAAAAACAGAGATTCACTTATTTCTGCACTTAGTTCTTTAAGTACACGTGGATGGATACCGTCAGGCCCTGGAGCTTTGTTTATATTAACTTTCTTTAGTTGCTGCAGCACCTTGTCTTGAGTTAACCAATTATGTGTTAGGGATGCACTGGGTGTGAAGGGTGCAGTGTGTGTGTGTGTGAGGAGTGTGTGTGGGGATGTGCACTGTTTGTGTGAAGGGTGCACTGTGTGAGAGGGGTGCAGGGTGTGTGGGGCATGCAGAGTGTGTGTGAGGCGTGCAGTGTGTGTGTGTGAGGCGTGCAGTGTGTGTGTGTGAGGGGTGCAGTGTGTGTGTGTGAGGGGTGCAGTGTGTGTTTGAGGGATGTAGTGTGTGTGTGTGAAGGGTGCACTGTGTGAGTGTGTGAAGGGCGCAGTGTGTGTGAGGGTTTCCCTGTGTGTGAAGGATGCATTGTGTGTGAAGGGTGCATTGTTACATAGTTACATAGCTGAAAAGAGACTTGCGTCCATCAAGTCCAGCCTTCCTCACATATGTTTTTGCTGTTGATCCAAACGAAGGCAAAAAAACTAAATTTTGCAAAAAACTAATAAAAAATTCCTTCTTGACCCCAAAGTAGCAGTCAGATGTGTACTTGGATCAAGCAGCTATTATCCCACTAATTAGAAATTATATACCAGGACATACTTGAAAACGAGAGAAATCTCAATGTATCTTTCCTGGTAAAATATTTTATATATAAATATCCCTGTATGTTATGTTTTTGCAAGTATTTATCCAATTGCAGTTTAAACATCTGTATGGACTCTGATAATACCACCTCTTCAGGCTGAGAATTCCATATCCTTATTGCTCTTACTTTAAAAAAACCTTTTCTTTGCCTTAGATGAAATCTCCTTTCTTCCAGCCTAAATGTGTGACCTTGTGTTCCATGTATAGCCCTGTTTATGGATAGATTTCCAGGCGCCATTTGTCCAAACCAAAGAGATTAAAATGTTTTAACCTTTCTTAGTAACTAAAATGCTCCATTCCTTTTATCAATTTTGTAGCTCGTCTCTGCACTTTTTCTGGTGCCATGATATCCTTCTTTAGAACAGGTGCCCAATATTGCACAGCATATTCAAGGTGTGGTCTTACCAGCGATTTATAAAGAGGCAAAAACACTGATCTTCCCTGTCAGCCTTGGCCCATGGCCATCATGGCCCACTGGGCATTTGCCCGGTATGCCCATTGGCCAGTCGGGGCCTGCCCACTTTCCTTTAAGGCTTTCAACTCTTGGCATGGGGTATTCCCTTCTTATGAGGGAACACTGTTTATAAATTGTAGATTTCTATTTATTATTTTAGAATTGTATCATATTTCTCAAATTCTCAGTGACAATTACTAGTTGAAAAGAATTGCAAAAAATAAGTGTTGTACAAATCTGCAGTTTCCCTCACATTTCAACTGTTGCAGGATGGAGGATACTTTGCACTCAACATTTACTGTGCTTAGGGCAAAGCCAAAGTTAGTCAGAAATTGCTTATTTGATTTTTATGAAATGTATAGATGGTGTTCAAACTATATGATTGGTGCATAGAAAACATAATGGCAGTGCCACTTTAAGCCAGGTGAAGGGTAGACCATAGAATGAAGACATGAAACCAGGCAGGTTTCCGACAATCCCCATTTTGGTGGGACCATCCCAATTCCAGGGTCTCACAATTTGTTCCCTGGTGTCCTCGGGCAGCACAGCACAAACACATCATTAGCAGTGCTTGCGCTGTGAAAGGGAACAAAGACCCTGCAGAAAGATTTTCAACAGCGTTCTCTGCAAGATCCAATACGTTGGGGATCTGTCACACAGTCCATTCCAGTGGGCGAGTCTGACCCTTTTCTGAATGGACCCACAGATTATGGGTATCGCCTGTGGCAGAAAACACATGACTGACAATGCCCCCCTCAAGGTCCTATCTCTTGTTCCACTGTTCATGTCAATATTAATATTCCAAAATGTGGTTAACGTACATAAATATTCTGCCAGTTAGAGTGGCAGAATGTAATATATTGCTTGATTTTAAAGTGACTTCTAAGAGCCTTCAGTTTTTCACATGTTATTTTGGTTCGCTTTCATGGACAATGTGAAATACATTGTATATTTAAGTTTTAAATATCTCATACTGTAAAAGCTTTTTCAGTGCTGCCAAGCTGTTCTATAAGCTTAACATAAGCCATGATAACATACACCAGACATTAAAACAGACAGACTTGTGTAGCCTGATATGGAGGGTGGGACTGACTTATATTAACATTTGACATTTAACTCAGTATATGAATTAGGTCATTTTAGAGAAATGCAGTCTTTATCCAGGCTGAACACATAATTAACAAACATAAGCAGGACTAGAAATTCAATTTTATGATTCTGAATTGCAGATAAAACTTCAAGACAACATGGGAGACTGGAGCTTCCTTGAAAAGTTGTTGGACCAAGTTCAGGAGCATTCCACACCTATTGGAAAAGTCTGGCTTATGGTGCTTTTTATCTTTCGTCTTTTGATCCTAAGTCTGGCAGGAGAGTCAGTGTGGGGGGATGAGCAGTCAGACTTCATCTGCAACACTAAACAGCCTGGTTGCACCAATGTTTGTTATGATAATGCCTTTCCTATTTCCCATGTCCGATACTGGGTTCTACAGTTCCTCTTCGTCAGCACACCCACTTTATTCTATCTGGGACATGTGGTTTACCTGTCTAGAAGGGTACAGAAGCTAAGGCTAATAGAGAATGAACTAAGGTCTTTAGTTGGAAAAGATCAGAATATGGAACATGCCCTAGTTTTGATAGAGAGAAAATGTCTGAAATACTGCATTCAAGAAGATGGCAGTTTGAAGCTCAGGGGAGCCCTAAAATACACCTACACATCCAGCATAATTCTTAAAAGCATTCTTGAAGCTGGTTTTCTGATAGGTCAGTGGTACCTCTATGGCTTTGTGATGCCTCCAATCTATGTGTGTGATAGAGAACCTTGTCGTCATTTTGTAGATTGCTTTGTATCACGACCCATGGAGAAAACTATCTTTATCATATTTATGCTGGTGGTATCTCTTGTCTCTTTGGCACTCAATTTACTGGAGTTGGCATGCCTACTTCATCAAAGCATATGCCACAGAAGGAAGAGATGCTCTTTGAGCACGTGTAATAATGACATCAACATGATCCCAACTACAACCTATAATCCACCAACTGCACCAACTCAAGAAAGTCCATGTCTCTACTTTCCTATGGCTAAGGACCACCATCTTCCATGGCCAGCTTACAAAATGACAAATGAACAAAACTGGACAAATTACAACACAGAGAAGCAGTTGGCCTCAAGTTCAGATCTCCAAACAAGTGGGAAACAGAGTACTTGTGTTGCTCATTCTGTGTCTACATCTAGTAGGTTAAGCAGTGATGCATCCAAAAAACAATATGTTTAAATATACATGACATTGTTGATGGTAGTTCTGTTCAATGTATCGTCTACTGCTTGTAATTACACTATAACTGTTTTATATGGTGGTACAACAAAACTCTAATTTAATTATGGAATAGATAGAATTGTTTCATAACCTATTGCAAGAATCAAGATTCCACACTGACCTATGGATGCATCAAAGAACAAATGTGGTATGTAACCTTTTTTATACTATATTGTATAGGGTTCTGTCTAGAATAATTGACGTGGCAGAGGTTCATATATGCAACATAATTTTTAATAGGTTATGCATTTCATGTCAATGCTTTCATTGCAGAGGTATCTATTGAACAACTGTGTAAATGCCTCTATGACATTTATTCACTAAACAGGGAATTAGGGAATTTAGGGAGAATGGAAAACAGTTTTCCACTTTGATTATTTGGCCTGAAGCACTACCACTTCTTCACAATTCCACCACAATGCGGTTTATTCACTAAGCAATAAATTGTAGGAAAATATGAAAGGAGATGCAAAATTTAGGCATAAACTGTTGGTTTTGCAAAATTCTCCTTGCCTAGTTTTGCCTAAATTTTGCAAACAGGTTTTCTATTCACGATTATTCATTGTTTAGTGAAAAAAATCCCCTATGGTCTGCTCAAAGCATGTTCATTCCCCTTCATTCAAGAAAGCCTCCAAATGAAACTATGCGTTCCTATAAAACCTCTCTGTTCTACATCTGGTTTAGATGTTTTTACAATAATAGTAATCCAAACTGATGTCTCAATCACAGTTAAATAAGAAGTAAGTGATGATTCTGATTTTATTTTTAACCCCATAGTTTGTTATGATTTTAGTCCCTTAAGGACAAAGCCAATTTGACAAGTTCTAATCAAAACAAAACCTTGAATTTGAGCTATATGTCTGTTCAATCATAATTTATTACTTTCATATTTATTTATAATTTTGTTCAGGAGATACAGGGCTTTCATTTTACATCAAATATTTATACATGAAAAACACAAATAGCGAATAGGGTCATGTCTAGTAAACAGCTCACTGGATTTTAATTTGGCCTTTTTTGAGGCTGAAAAAATTAGGTTTTAGAAAAAAGACCTCAAATGGTAGTTTTTTTCTTTTTGTATTTACAGGCATTTAGTTTTATTGTTCCCCCCTCACTATTTTTAGGGTGAGGGGGGGAAGGTAGGGCTTTAGCCCCCCCCCATGAGGGGGAAAGGGGAGACAATAGCCCCTCCCCCATGAGGGGGAAAGCAGGGGACAATAGGTCCTCCCCTTATTGTCATTTATTGCCCACACCTGCTGCTCATGGGTGGGGGTCGTTGGGGGGGAGGACAATAGGTCCCCCCCATTGTCTGCTAGGGCCCTTACCTGATGCTCATGGGTGTTGGGGTGGACAATAGGTCCCCCCCCTTATTGTCATTTAGGGCCCTCACCCACCACTCATGAGTGGGAGTCAGGGTGGACAATAGGTTCCCCCCCTATTGTATGTTAGGGTGGGGACCTGGGGGAGACATTAGGTGTCCCCCCCTTTATTTAATTATTTATGGTCCCCATCCGCTGGTCATGGGTGGGGACCTGGGAGGGGCATCGGGTCCCCCATTATTTATTTAATTAAGGTCCCCACCCTACTTGCAGCATTTTTATTATTGGTTATTATTTATATAGCGCCAGCTTATTCCGCAGCACTTCACAATAAGAGGGGAATTTACCAAATGAGACTAAATGTGTAACCGCTGGTTCCCTTATTTACCACTATAATGTCTTAAAGCATAGAACTTAGTAGGGCTAACCATACAGATATCTTAGCCATAATTTTATATAGTGTAAGAGATCCTCTATTTAACATATATAAATAATTGAGAATACAATATAAAATAAGGATTGTCTTGGAAGCAATAGTTTTCTTTTGGATATTTATTATATAAAAATATAAAATCCATTATAGCAGAGTTTATAAGATTAAATTACATGCTTGCAAATATCATTAATAGGTTAACATACCCTTCTGAACATGTCATCATGTCAGCCTCTCTGTCATTTTAGGGTGGAGCAGCGTCTGTCTCCAAGTCTCTCCTCTGTGTCTTAACATTTAAAAGTACACCTATTTATACCTTAGGTGTCTCCATTTTAGGTTACTGTAGTTCAAATATGAAAAAGTAACACTTCTTTTACTTTATTCAATTTAGGACCTCCCTTAACTTGGCAAACATACAGGACCATAACTAAAGGGTGCAAACGTCATGGAAATTTTCCTGACTTAGTTCAAGATGGCATCTTAAAGTCTGAATAGGTTATCTGTTGTTTATACTAAGTCGTAAGTGTACAGTCGTGGGAGATTCCCGGATTTGGGGAAGTTCCATTAACTTGGGGTTACCACAGCATATTGTGTACTGCAAGTGTCGTAGTATAGCCTTGAAGCTTGTTTATGTATTATTGTTATTGTAATTCGTCTGGGACAAAATGGCGCAAACATATTATGCACTGAGGTTATTGCTTAAAGAAACAGTTATGAAAAACAATATGTTCCATTTCTAACACCTTGTCAGTTTGCAATATCTCTTAAAGACAAAGTACACAGTTTAAGAAATACAACATTTCATTCTAAAACTTGTAATATTTGCATTTGCCCGTAACACCCTCTCCATTAAACTGTGGGCATTGTAGCGCATTTCTTCCTTAAATTAGTAAACAAAAGTTCTCCAACTGTCTTTAGGTTTTTTATGCTCCCAGCATCTTAGATCATTGTTGTAACAGTAAAACATCCGTAGTGTGATCTTTGCCTGTAAAGGTGGTTGATTAAAATGAGCAAAGCTTTTGTCTGGGAAAGAATTGAAAAGAACACCAAGTTCCAGAGTAAGATATTCTTGGATAGATCCGGATACGAATTGTAATCCAAAGTTAAAAGTAGTAATTGTATTTGTAATCCAAAGTCTTTAAAGGCCTGTAGAAGTTTACATTCCTTAGATACATTGCTGGAGGTTGTGTTTGTAGAATACCCGGGTATTTGTTGTAGAGTTTAGGTTGTAGAGTCCAGCTTTCCAAATATTTGGCTAGAATTGGTTGCAGATATTCAATCAGCATCATCTGTTATCACCGTGGTGATGGCGTTGGTATTTGTCTTTGTCTTTGCTTGTTTGCTTTGTTTTTTTCATGAAACATTTTTACGCTGTTTATGATGTGTATAGATTGGATACTCTCCGATATTCTTTTACGGAATCAATTAATTGACAGTATTTCCAAGACATTGTCTTGAGTGACATGGATCCCATTATAGTAAATGTTATATTGATACAGCAATCGAAGTGGATTCTCAAGAACGCCTCTTTTTGCTGTATTGGAATCTTTGTAACATCTCAGTGATAGACATCTCACTGACATCAGGTGCTGTTGTGCTAAAAATGTTAACAGGTAAAATCTGTGGAAAAATCTTTACATTTGTTATAGTTTATATAATAATGATAGATGAAATAGTAACATAGTTAATCTTTCTAGTGTTTTGTTTTAAAGACAAACACCCTTGTATATGATTTAGAGATATAAGGATAATTTGAAGCAGCAAAGTATTTACTGCATTTGTTCACAATGGTATGTAAAATTACATTCTCTTTAAATGTTAAAAATACTCCTTTATTCAAAATCTCTCAATATATTTAGAAATATGACGTTAATTATCTTTCTTTGACCTGTTAGGTAGAAGACAACTTATTCCCTAAGTTACAATTAGTAAATATAATAACTACAGTTATTAGTGGCTTAAAATACCAGAAACCCCCAAATATTGTCTTAGAAAACATTTTTTTTATTTTTTTTTTAACCAAGATCTGACAGCCATTGTGGAAAGTTACGTTCGTGAGATTGGATGCTTAACAATGTGAATCTTAATTGTTTAAGTATATTTACCAGCGGCTGTTGGGTGTAACTTAAGATGATTAGAATTTTTATTATTATTTCTAAAAGTGAGTTAAGAAAGCACTCAGATACAATATTGAAGGTATTTATATGTTAGCTCTACCTTTGTATAAGTGGTTTTAACACTTCCATAACAATATAAATCAGAATCTGTTGTAACTATAACTGCTTGAAGTAGGGGTATGTTACAATCAGAATATGAATTAATAATCATATGCATGATGTATTGATTCAACAATCAATAGATGTGGCAGGATCATTACCACAAGGTATATGTTCCTTTAACCATCACAAACCAAATAACATTTTCTTGGTATTTGAAAAACTGATAAAATATTTGATTACGTTTATTTTAATATACATAGAGTGGTATGGATGTTGAATTTATATCTTTGACATCTTTTCACCAATTTGCAATAGGTGACCTAAATGATCAATTTCCAAAATCATCATGTATATCACCTGGATGGGTTAATCCATAATACTCTTTTACTTTCCATTGACTGGCCTTAGCTCTGGCAGACTGAATATTTTTATCATTATAAATAAACTTTATGATAGTTGAAGTAAAGATTCTGCCTGTCTTTCAGTTAAATTTTAACTGTTGAAGTATTTAACTTATATTAATTATACCACTCTGCAAACTTAAACGAATATCAAGTAGTTTCTGATTTAATAAAAACATTTCACATTTTCTTCTAACGTTTAAAACATGCATTATTGCAGTTGTTATTGCAATCATATGATCTTTAACTATCATGATTCACTTATTCATCTGGGTAATTAGCTGTTATGCTCTTATACTTTATGTCTAATATATTTGTTTGTAGGCCAGACTGCAGCTGCTTATGGCATTTTAGCAATAATCTTCAATTGCGTTTCAGATATTCCAAAGTCTATCCACCTTTGTAATTAACACATTATGTGTTTCTTATACCATTAATTAATAACCATTAAGTCCAGAATATAGCAAGAATCCATTGTCGTTTGATTCTATGGAGCCATTTAACATTTTGATTGGTAGAGTTATACCAAAAGAGCAAGAACCATTACAGATTCTTTGTTGTATCAATGTCTCTCTGTGTTTATGTTTACAGGAGTTCCTTGATTTTGCAGGTATGTACATAATATGTAGAGTTTAAGAAAAGCTGCAAATCGTGCTTTAGTACAAGAGTCCCATGATGTCAGGTTTCTGAAAGATTTTGCTGGCCTTTTATATTCCATTCTCTTGGCAGGGCATCTGCTCTTAGTAAGCCGGTCTTGTTATTATTTATTAATTGCATCAAGGTTTCTTTCATTAATGTGTTTCTTTTGAATTCAGATGCCACCAAATGTCATTGTAAAGTTCATTGTTACAGAATATTGTTCCAGGATGGTTTTTCACTCCAGTAGGAAATTTATATTCCTCTTCTTCTGCTCCTTCCTATTAACCACTTTTTCTGAGTTGTAGGTAACAATCTGTGTCTTGTACTGTGAGGTGCTTTGATAGTCAATCAGGTTTTCTCAGTACCATGTTCCATCTTGAAAAACAGCTGGGTGTTGACAGTTATCAGCCTTTATTTCTTTTTTCCGGTCATCTTCTGTCTGGATAATAGCAATGTCCAGAATTAGCAGAGCACTTCTTTTCAGCATAAGAAGGCTGTTTGCGGTAGTCACTCAATGATAAACTATATGGCAAGGTATTTTCTTGCATCACCTTCATAGGTGCATCCAAAGTCTTTCACAAGCATCTGTCCCGTCTTTTTCTGTTTTCAGCATGCTTTGCCATAATTGTTGAGTCCATTATTAGGATTTGTAATAGTCCAATCACATCTTTCTCATGTATAATCGTTTTTTTGGAATGATCTCAATAGGTTCCTTGTGAAATACCAGTGTAGGTCACATTAGCAATCATTTCACTGTGAGCTGTGTCTCTCCTTATGAGATGGTTCTTGGAGGTAGTCCTCGGGATCAAAAGAACTTGTATAGTGTGCAGTCCAATTCAGTTCAGGTGCTTCCTGTTTGTTAACATAATCCCAATGCAGTTTTAAAACGACAGCTAGTGTTGATGTTATGATAATGCTGCAGATTGTAGGAAGGAGACACCATAACCAATTTTCCAGCATCCTTTTGCTTCCATCTTTGCATTTCTTTCTTACTGTATAAGATAATTCAGGTTCAGTCTGTTTTCTCCAGAGTCTTTCTTATAGTGATGTTGATGATTCATTTTTCGTACATTCCATATTAACTGTGAATGTATCACGTCTGTCTGTTCATCCTTCTCCTTTACATTTGCAAGTTCAGATGTCAGATCATGATTCAGTCTTTTACGTGGCTATGATTCTGGTGGCTTTTCTGTCGTCCTCTGTTTGTTTTATCTTGCCATCTTTAACAGCATCCACTGCGTCAGTCAGTGGTTCTGTGAACGTCTTGGAAGTATTTTAGCAGGTTGTAAAATATCAAAACTTACTGTTCTCTGTTGGCTCTGATTGTTCTCTGTAGTAAAAGTTCTCTGAGTCACCCTCTCCAGGACAAACTGGCCAACGGTAGGAAAAAGTTGGTGGGGCAAGGCGAGGTGGGCTGGAAAAAAAAATTCCCTAAATTTCTCTAATAGAACCAATGGTTCTAAGCTCTCCCTGGTGCAGAAATATGTTTGTCAGTGAAAAACATGTAACATTTCATATGGTGTCTCACCATTTGTATCATCAGGTATGTTGTGAATGCTCATCTGTACCATAGGAATAAATAGATACCACTGTTTGGGGCAAGCAACTAGTAACTTGGTTAATAATCATTTAACCTCAGCATTCTCCCAGACCACAACCCCACTTCTTTGGGGGTGGTTGGGGCACTGAAATCCCAAATTAACCCAAATGTGGTTGCCCAGTTTTAGGTTTCCTTTGCAGTAACTGCAGGACCACCATCCAAATGGATGGTCCTGGGATTATCAAATGCATACTAAGGAAGTGAGACTAGAAAACGTGGCATCAGAGGTTGCACTTCGCACAGGATATATCCAAGTAAACCTGGTACATGCATCAACACATACAAAAACATATCTATAACCATGAGATGTTGGCAAACTTCCAATATATAGTAATTCAAAAAGTATGTTAGATATTAATAATTCAATAAACAGTACATCAGTAATGTGGCCATAAGCAAATGCTTATGATTACAAAACACATGAATTACAGTATTTCCCATATTGAACCACCAATATTCCTTTTCAGGAGTCAGATGTACATTACCTCTCTCTATAAGAGCTTGTCCTAGCTTTTAGGGCAAGTCTATCTTTCCTCTATAGGAAGAACAACCAACATATTACCTTCAATGGTTATTATGTAATTAACCCCTCTAAACGATACCAGGTGGATAAGGTCTGGATATCCTTGCAAGCATAAACTCTGCATCATGACAGAGAGATAGGGTATGCGATGTGATCCAGTGACCACAGAAAAGCATTGGTAGACACATTGCATCAAAGTGCCTGTTAATGACCAACTACATGAGGAGAGGGCCCATGCTTTGTTATAAGCATGTCCATACACGTATTACAATGCCAGGCTTTCAATTCGTTTCCACAAAGCAAAATGCAGTTGTGGGTATAAACTCACGACGTATCGTAAGAAAAACTGTTTGAACACCAGACTGAGACTCGAGATCAGTGAACAGTGGACCAAAATTGATAAATGAAATCCTATCAATTAATATACTTTCAATATACTTTCTTTATATTACTTTATACTCTGTATTAACTATAAAATATTAAAGTTAAAACAATAACATTTAAAAGCCAACTTTTAGTGTGGATAGGAATTACAAGGCCGTTCATAATGTGAGATAAAGAACAGCTTTTTTAAAATCCGAATAGTCTGTGAACACAAGATGACCTTGCGCTGAAAACTCACTTGCAGGGGAAAAACAAAACAACGTTTTCTCTTTTTCTTTAGTAAGTTAATTAATTAATTAAACGTAGTTAGAACCTCCCTCAAAGTCCCGATGACTTTGCAAGAAACATGTCGTCCTTAAATACTGGGTAAGTCTATTAAACAGTGACATAGCATTGTTACCCTGTATATCATGTTGTCACAGCTATAATGTGCAGTATTACAAACTATTTATAAGTGTTGTGCAAACTGTTCATTAAAAGCCAGCGGTCTAGTGAGCTATAGAACATTTTTTTTATTTATTCTTTAAAGCTCTGACATCAATCGGCAAAGCAATATTGTAATGGTGTCCATTGCAATCTGCTGTTTTACTTGCTGCTCTCAAAAATTCTGAATATGTTCAGAGATTTCTTGGGCAATTATAAATCCCCAAAAACAACAACTTTGCATTCATGCTAAACCTGACTGTTGTAAACGTATTCTGTATATTTCTTGTCATAAGTACTTGTACTTAAATCTGTTTAACAAAGCTGTTTATATTGTGGTGTAAAATAATTTTTTTATTATTATTATTTATTTTATTTATTTATTTTTTAACTTTGCTTAATTTTTAAAGATACCTGCATATTTAATTAAATATCCTTTATATGTCTTTAAGGCATAAAATATCTGCAAATTAAGATTATATACAAAAATGCATGTTCTGGGTGTTCCGTGATTCCTTTTCTATCATTTATTTTTTTTTTTTTAAAAATTAAGTCTGTAATCTGATTCCTTTTGGGATGAGCACCCCTCTGAGCCCCCCAGTTTCAGAGGCTTCTTAGGAGGTGACCATTGAAAAGTATAGATTCTATAAAATAGATGTGAGGGGGCTTTGGACAGTAAAGTTACCTTAATTATACTTTTCATATAGCAGATATGTGATATGCAATGTGATTTAATATATCAGTGTATCATCACTTTAATAGACACTGCATTTTTTTATGCATTATTCTTTATGCATTATTATTTTTCTTTATTTTTTTTTTAATGTCTGTTTAGAATATTGCAGGCTTTGCAATCTCAAATAAATTTTGCAGTGTATATATATTCACAATGCTCTTACAACATATTATTCAAATTAGCCTCTTTCACAATTGTAGAATATGTGGTGGAACTGAATCCCCATATATGAGATTTGAAACTGTATTTTTGATTTCTGTGCCCTGATCAGTATTTATATACATAATTGCAGCAGCATATAGCTTTTAAAGAAGCAATTATTTCACCATTCATGTGTGGTTGACTGTGGACTTTTTAAAATTTATTTTTCATTTTTTTTATAAATCTGTTTCTGGTTTTGAGAGAGCAGGCTGCTGAATGCATGTAAATGCTCTTAATGCTTAGTCTCTATACATTTATTTATTTAATCGTATTTTATAAAAACCTAGTTTATGAAATTCACTGAGATTACATGTGTCTGATCTGATTACAGTCAGTAGTACAATATAATTGTTTTAATTTCCTTACTGCTAGTACGGTGGGATAGCACCACTGATTTAAGTAAGCTTTCCCTTTTAAAATTGGTGGACTTTACTGCCATTGCAATAGACTAAAGACTGTCCCTGAGTAAGCAAAGTCATTATGTGCAGGAATTGTGCACTTTAAATAGTAGAATACTTATGCTATTCTAGTGAATTGGGCTGGCTGCTTAACACTTCATTTAATATCTTATGGTCACATTTAAAGCTGTAAATGTATTTAAAATTTTATTTAAATAAGCCTTTAATAATTTCTGTTTAAAAGTTATCAGAGATCCTGTATAGTTACCATTTTATTTAGCCCTGATCTATCTTACATATATATTATTTTTAATAATTTTATCAATATTTATTTTTGCAGAGCATTTAGCGAAGCAAAGGATGTATAACAACCTGTTGCCCTTTTTTCTAGGAGGGTAGTATAATTTCAACTCTGTTTAGGAAAAAATATGAGCTAGTTATATATTATATAAAATATATGCTGCAGTGTACTGCACTGAATGTATTTAAAAGCCATGTCTTTCTCTTTATGGCTGTATGTAATAATGTTGTTCATAATTTGGAATATAAAACGACTTCTTCTCAATTCCTTGGAATGGAAGCAATGTTTACATGTCTCTGTATCTCCGCAACCTTGGCTGGAAATTCCAGACTCCAAAAATAGTTATGCTGTTATAATTCCTGATTTTTAATCAACAGCTAGCGTAACTGACAATATGGAAAATATCACTGTTTTATAAAACTTTTCATATATAGTGGACATTAAAATCCAGAACGCAGTAATGCAATAATTAAAAATCCTGTCTGTCTGTTGCATGAATGTTTTCATTAAGCCATAATGCAATTTTCTTTGCATTCTTGGAATTAGACTTCAAATTTCATCGCTCTGTCTTATCACTTTTCTTTTGACAACATTTTGCATTAATCTTTTTCCTGCGCATGCATACTAAGCAGCTACAAAGAGAACATATCCCCTTGTCTGCAATCCACTGTCCTGGAACTAATGGACCATGCTATGTTGGTGTATTAGGCATATCAGGGAGTTTACCAAATATGTATATTTGTTCTATTATGATATTAGTTAAGATCCACAATATCAGCATTGTATGCTAATTACCTTGTACCTGGCACCTGAACTCACAGTGCCTTGTTCACATTAAAATCATCTCTAATGATCTCTCTCTGAGTCTGGGCTACACATAGCTCAATAGATTCTTGATATTTCAAGACTTGTGCCATGACAAAGTATTGTGTCTTCTCTTACGTATAAGAGGTTACCTAGGTATTTATTTTATATTTAAAGCTTCCAAGTACAAAGTCCCTTCGTGGTCGCCAATTGTAACCGTGGTGGTTCCCTTATTTACCACTATAATGTCTTAAAGCATAGAACTTAGTAGGGCTAACCATACAGATATCTTAGCCATAATTTTATATAGTGTAAGAGATCCTCTATTTAACATATATAAATAATTGAGAATACAATATAAAATAAGGATTGTCTTGGAAGCAATAGTTTGTCTTTTGGATATTTATTATATAAAAATATAAAATCCATTATAGCAGAGTTTATAAGATTAAATTACATGCTTGCAAATATCATTAATAGGTTAACATACCCTTCTGAACATGTCATCATGTCAGCCTCTCTGTCATTTTAAGTGGAGCAGCGTCTGTCTCCAAGTCTCTCCTCTGTGTCTTAACATTTAAAAGTACACCTATTTATACCTTAGGTGTCTCCATTTTAGGTTACTGTAGTTCAAATATGAAAAAGTAACACTTCTTTTACTTTATTCAATTTAGGACCTCCCTTAACTTGGCAAACATACAGGACCATAACTAAAGGGTGCAAACGTCATGGAAATTTTCCTGACTTAGTTCAAGATGGCATCTTAAAGTCTGAATAGGTTATCTGTTGTTTATACTAAGTCGTAAGTGTACAGTCGTGGGAGATTCCCGGATTTGGGGAAGTTCCATTAACTTGGGGTTACCACAGCATATTGTGTACTGCAAGTGTCGTAGTATAGCCTTGAAGCTTGTTTATGTATTATTGTTATTGTAATTCGTCTGGGACAAAATGGCGCAAACATATTATGCACTGAGGTTATTGCTTAAAGAAACAGTTATGAAAAACAATATGTTCCATTTCTAACACCTTGTCAGTTTGCAATATCTCTTAAAGACAAAGTACACAGTTTAAGAAATACAACATTTCATTCTAAAACTTGTAATATTTGCATTTGCCCGTAACAAATGTAACAGGAACAATAGGTAGTTGAGGACCCTTCTCAAACAAGCTTACAATCTAGAGCAGGTGGGGTATAAAAACACCATAGTAGGGGTATTGATGGAGACAGAAAATAGACATGGTGGGAAAGTAGCAGAACTGGAGGTGAGAGTGGAGTATGGCCCTTTAGGAGAGAGCAAGAGGAAGGTTTGAGAGATAGAAGTTACGCTTGGAGGCCATAAGCAATCCTGAAAAGATAGGTTTTGAGGAATTTCTTAAAGGATTGAAGACTAGGGGAGAGTCTGACAGGGGTAGGCAGTCTGTTCCAAAGTAAAGGGGCATCCCATGAGAAGTCTTGCAGGTGTGAATTTGCAGTAAAGGTGCGAGCAGCAGACAGGAGAAGGTCATCAGTAGAGCAGAGAGACCGAGAGGGGGCATACCTATGAATCAGTGATGGAATGTAAGAGGGGCAAGAGTTGGTTAGTGCTTTATAGGGTTAGTATTTTAAATTGACACCTGTAAGGTACAGGAAGCCAGTGTAAGGATTGACAGAGGGGTGAGGTGTGGGGAGGGGCGAGTCCCCAGAAGCGGTTCGCGGCAACAGCTTTTAAGCCCATTTAAAGCGGAACACCATGGAACGACGTAACAGTGCTAACGGGTTGTAGAACAAAATATTACTATTTCTGTATGCTCCTAATTATCAGTAGAGGAAAATAAATAATGTTACTCATTAGCTGGTTATTCTCAGTGTGCAGTGCATGGATTTGCAAGCAATTCTTGCAAAGGTATTCACTAAAGTAAGTATCCAAAGAGAATTCAAAGTGAATTTAAAATTTAAAGTCAAAACTGCTAAACTGGAAAAATTCTCTAAGTCAACTTTGTTTTCAGTTCGGCTGCTTAAGTGTGAAATCCATTTTGTAATCTGAATTTAGTAAATAACCTGTTAGCTTTCACTAGACTTTTAGTATATCCTTCCTAAATAATTTTCTATACACTCCTGGAGACTGTATCTCAGAATAACAATAAGTATAATGTCTAGTCACACTTCCCCTGTCAAGGTATACAACAGCAATACAGCTGAACAATTGTGAGAATGTGTGTGTTCCACCATACAGGAAATGTGGCTGATTTGTGGCTTAAATTCAATGAAAGGGGAAAATGCAAGCTCATAGCTACGTCCTACTTCAGATTTACTATATCAGCCACTCCAGCTGATATAGTAAATCTGATTTTCAGAAACGCAGCCACGGGAAAATGAAATTACATTAACTCCTAAAATTCCAATAATATGTAATGTTCTCATCAGAACACAGTCCATAAATACTCTAGGCCTGCATGGAATGCCGTGTTTATATAGTCATAATGTCACTACATGAGTAGGAATTCTATTTTGGTATAGGATATTTAAAGAACTTATTGTTACAATCCTCACTTCTCTGTAAGCAGCAATAAACATAGTACTTAATACCTGTCCTGTAAGGAGGTAGAAAAATGTGCTGTTTTAATATTTAACAAGTAATGTAGCCATACATGAGTTATAGAAAGATGACAGAAATCTGAGGACTGTTAAAAAAAAAAAAAAAATCACAAAAAGAATTAACTTCCGTGCAACTGGATCAGGAACCACTAATAGTGGCATGAATAGTAACATCCAAATACTAGCGCACCAACCAGAATGTCAAGTGCACCTCAGTGCTAAAAATTTTAATGAAGGACATAGAAAACAAATGTTTCTGGTAGACCATCCTTTCTCAATGTACAATGCCCTTCTTACAGGACCTATTCTATAATTACCAGATTTTACTAATTACATGACATAAAGTCATGATTTTATTAGGGACACAGGGGCAAATATTATGCTTTATCTCTTTCTTTATTCCTCAGCAGCAAAGAAAGGATATTAAGCTATTCATAGAAGAAAAAAAGCAAGTTCCCCTTTAGAGGGTTAACCATATAACATCTTAGCCAATCAGAGCAGTTCACATTCCATATACTCCCATGTGACCCTAAGCCACTCTCTTTCTTAGTGATGCCAAAGCCAATGGTCAACGAAAAGAACTGCAAACAAAAGGAACTGAATCAACACAACCAGACAGTCTAACGACTGGTGTCCTTGAAACGGCATCCTCTGAGGGGAACGGATCCTTGTGAATAGATCCATTGCAACTGTGGAAGGAATCGGTCCTGAAGAAACCATCATAAGGTTTCAGGCTGTAAGAAACAGAGAAAACAAGTGGTAAAATACGCTCCACTAGTATATCACCCATGTTACAGTAGAAATGACTAAATCGTATATAATTCGCATATCTATGAGTTAGGAATATTTCACTTAACTATACAAAGAAAAACTGCTAACAAAATAGCAAGAGCAGTCTAGACATTGAACAAACAATATTGAAACTTGCGGGGGGGGGGGGACACACAAACAAACATACCTGTATTGGGTGGGCTTATATTTGCATCCGTGTCCTTAATAAAATCATGACTTTACATCATGTAATAAGTCAAATCTGGTATTTTTATTAAAGGGCACGAAGGCTCATATTATGCTAGTTCAAAGCTGTGAAATAGGGGGCAGAGTCTGACTGCTGAGCCGACTGCCCGAACTCTGGGGGGGAGACCCTAACACTAACAGCTCTTCCAGCCTAAAAATGCCTTTAAAGCATATAATGCGGGCCACCAACTCACAGCCTGCTTACACCACTTACGAAGCCTTGCGGCCGGCGGTCGATAACTCCAGGATGGGGCGCAGTTGCGGCCTGCAGAAGCTCGAGGTGGGGAGAGACGGCCCCTCTCCACGCTCTTGGATTGACGGCGGGGCCGGACCAGAGGGTACACGAAGAGCAGGAATGCCGCTCGGAGCAAGCCAAAATGGCCGCCAACATGAGGCCCAGCATGTCCCAGACTCTAGTGACCGCATTGCTCTGATGGCTGTCTGACCCCCAGCAACAAGTAGGCTTGATATGCTCAGGTGTGTGTGTGTCTGTGTCTGTCTGTCTGCTAGTGAGGAAGCTTGTGTCTGTGTGTGTGTGTATGGACTCAGCAGTCTGTCTGTGTGCATGTGTGTATGGACTCAGCAGTCTGCGTGTGTGTGTATGGACTCAGCAGTCTGTGTGTGTGTGTGGACTCAGCAGTCTGTCTGTGTGTATGGACTCAGCAGTCTGTGTGTGTGTGTGGACTCAGCAGTCTGTCTGTGTGTATGGACTCAGCAGTCTGTATGTGTGTATGGACTCAGCAGTCTGTGTGTATGGATTCAGCAGTCTGTATGTGTGTATGGATTCAGCAGTCTATATGTGTGTACGGACTCAGCAGTCTGTATGTGTATATGGACTCAGCTGTGTGTGTGTGGACTCAGCAGTCTGTATGTGTGTATGGACTCAGCAGTCTGTGTGTGTGTGTGTGTGTGTGTGTGGACTCAGCAGTCTGTATGTGTGTACTCAGCTGTCTGTATGTGTGTATGGACTCAGCAGTCTGTATGTGTGTACTCAGCTGTCTGTATGTGTGTATGGATTCAGCAGTCTGTATGTGTGTATGGACTCAGTAGTCTGTATGTGTGTATGGACTCAGCAGTGTGTGTATGGATTCAGCAGTCTGTATGTGTGTATGGATTCAGCAGTCTGTATCTGTGTATGGACTCAGTAGTCTGTATGTGTGTATGGACTCAGCAGTCTGTGTTTGTGTGTGTGTGTGTGTGTATGGACTCAGCAGTCTGTGTGTGTGTATGGACTCAGCAGTCTGTGTGTGTATGAACTCAGCAGTCTGTATGTGTGTATGGACTCAGCAGTCTGTGTGTATGGACTCAGCAGTCTGTATGTGTGTATGGACTCAGCAGTCTGTGTGTGTGTGTATGGACTCAGCGGTCTGTGTGTATGTGTGTGTGTGTGTGTGAGTGTGTGGACTCAGCGGTCTGTCTGTGTGTGTATGGACTCAGCGGTCTGTGTGTGTGTATGGACTCAGCAGTCTGTGTGTGTGTGTGTGTGTATGGATTGAGCAGTCTGTGTGTGTGTGTGTGTGTATGGACTCAGCAGTCTGTGTGTGTATGTACTCAGCAGTCTGTGTGTGTGTGGACTCAGCAGTCTGTGTGTCTCTTTGTGTGTATGTACTCAGCAGTCTGTGTGTGTGTGTGTGTTTGGACTCCGCAGTCTCTGTGTGTGTATGGACTCAGCAGTCTGTGTGTGTGTGTGTGTATGTATGAACTCAGCAGTCTGTGTGTATGGACTCAGAAGTCTGTGTGTGTGTGTTTGTGGACTCAGCAGTCTGTGTGTCTATGTGTGTGTGTGTGTGTGTATGGACTCAGCAGTCTGTGTGTCTATGTGTGTGTGTATGGACTCAGCAGTCTGTGTCTGTGTATGGTCAGCAGTCTGTGTGTCTGTATGTGTATGGACTCATCAGTCTCTGTATGTATAAGGACTCAGCAGTCTGTCTGTGTGTGTATGGACTCAGCAGTCTGTGTGTGTGTATGGACTCAGCAGTCTCTGTGTGTGTGTGTATGGATTGAGCGGTCTGTGTGTGTGTGTGTGTGTATGGACTCAGTCTGTGTGGGTGTATGAACTCAGCAGTCTGTGTGTATGGACTCAGCAGTCTGTGTGTCTATGTGTGTGTGTGTGTGGACTCAGCAGTCTGTGTGTCTATGTGTGTGTGTATGGACTCAGCAGTCTGTGTGTCTGTGTATGGTCGGCAGTCTGTGTGTCTGTGTGTGTATGGACTCATCAGTCTCTGTGTGTATAAGGACTCAGCAGTCTGTGTGTGTGTGTGTGTGTATGGACTGTATCAAGGGAAATGTGTTTGTTTTTTAATAATCCTTGGTGGAAAATAATGAATTCTCCACCAGGGATTAAAAAAAACAAAAACACACATTGTGTCGGGGGCGGGGCTTAACATGTGACAGGGACGGGGTCAAACTGCGGTGAGGGCGGGGTTAAATGTGCCCCCACTAAAAATGAATCCTAGAGATGCCACTGCGCCTGTGTTCTTCTTACTCCCCCGTGTTCTTCTGACTCCCCCTGTGTTCTTCTTACCCCTCCTCCCTATGTTTTTCTTACCCCCATGTTCTTCTTACTCCCCCCTCCCTATGTTCTTCTTACTCCCCACCTATGTTCTTTTTACTCCCCCCTCCCCTATGTTTTTCTTACTCCTCACTCCCCCCTGTTTTTCTTACTCCTCCCCCATATTCTTCTTATTACTTCCCCCTCCCTATGTTCCTCTTACTCCTCCTCCCATGTTCTTCTCACTCTCCCCTCCTATGTTCTTCTTACACACCCCTATGTTCTTCTTACACCCCCCTATGTTCTTCTTACATCCCCATGTTCTTCTTACTCCCCTATGTTCTTCTTACTCCTCCCCCATGTTCTTCTTATTACTTCCCCTCCCTATGTTCTTCTTACACCCCATGTTCTTCTTACTACTCCCTCCCTATGTTCTTCTTCTCCCCCATCTTCTTTTACTCTCCATGTTTTTCTTACACCCCCATGTTCTTCTTACTCTCCCTCCTATGTTCTTCTTACTCCCCCTCCCCATGTTCTTCTTACTCCCTCCATGTTCTTCTTACTCCCCATATGTTCTTCTTACTACTCCCCAGTGTCCTTCTTACCCCCTATGTTCTTCTTACTACTCCCCCCTCTGTGTTCTTCTTACTCCTCCCCCCTCCCTGTGTCCTTTTTATTCCCCTTCCCCTCCCTCTGTTCTTCTCACCTCCCCTTCCCTCTGTAGCGTGGGTGGCCGAGCTCCTCTTTGGTCCGTTTCTGTTTCCTGTACCCGGCCGGACTGACAGAAAGTGCACACTGAGTGAGTGTGCACTTCCTATCAGTCCGGCCGGGTACAGGAGACGGTACAGGAAACGGATGTTCTTGTACCGCGGACCGAAGAGGAGCTCGGCCACCCACTCTACAGAGGGAAGGGGAGGTGAGGAGAGAGACAGTGCTGCAGCTGCCTCAGGCTCTTTACAGAGTGCTCAGGTGGCTGCAGCATTAAAATGGCCGGCGATGGGGGCGCAGGGCGCCCCCTCCTATATGTTGCCCTAGGCAGCTGCCTAGTTCACCTTATAGGAAGCGCCAGCCCTGCTACAGAGGGAAGGGGAGGTGAGGAGAGAGACAGTGCTGCAGCCTCCTCAGGCTCTTTACAGAGTGCTCAGGTGGCTGCAGCATTAAAAGAGCCGGCTGCCTAGTTTGCCTTATAGGAAGCACCGGCCCTGATTATAGATGACACAGTACATGACGAGATAGGGTTTCCCAACCTATACATTGTGTATTTGTCTACCCAGGGATATACATCCACTCACTACTGAGCAACGTTAGATGATCAAAATTTACCTTCTAAAAGCAGTTACCTAGTTTGTTTACCTTAGTTATGCTTTTTCTTTTCTTTTTTTTCTTTTTTAACCCACACAAGTAAGATAAGCCTTAATTAAGCTAGTGACCCTCTACTCTTACAAACAGTCAGTTTGTTAATCCGAATCAGTATTTAGTCTGCCTTATCTTATAACTGACATGTTGATCCAATTTTTGATAAATCTACAATATAACATAAAATGTGCAATGTTTTGATATGCCAACAAAAGTCTCTTGATGTTGACCTAAAAGCTGGCAATAGTTGTTGTGGCATTGCCTGCCTCTTTGTATTCTTTGTGCATGATAAAATAAAGAATTATAAAAAATAAAAAAAAAGCTGTGAAATAACCGTAGAGGAGACATGTTCCGTTGGACAAAAATGGTATTCTTTAAACATCGATTATCGAGACCAATCAGCCGTTTGAATAAGGTCTTCCAGTTTACAACCCAAGGTGAAAGCTTTTGAAGTCATGGCACCTCTAGTAGAATGTGTACCATATACACTACACTGCCTCCCTTGGTAAACTCATCAACTCCTTTGGATTCCGTTATCATTTCTATGCGGATGGCACGCAAATCTACCTGTCCTCTCCTGATCTCTCTCCGCCCATCTTGACTCGTGTCTCTGACTGCCTCTCTTGGATTTCCACATGGATGGCTGATTACTTCCTTAAACTCAACTTGTCCAAAATAGAACTTCTGGTCTTTCCTCCCTCAAGTGTTACTACTCCCGTGTCTGTCTCCCTCCAAGTCAACGGCGCTACCATCACCCCTACCTCGCAGGCTCGTTGCCTGGGTGTTCTTTTTGACTCCAACCTCTCCTTCACCCCTCATGTCCAATCAATTGCCAAATCCTGTCGCTTCAATCTCAAAAACATAGCGCGCATGCACTCCTATTTAACCCTTGATACGGCTAAGGTGCTGGTCCATGCTCTTGTTCTCTCTCGCCTGGACTACTGCAATACTCTTCTCAGTGGTTTTACGTGTTCATAGATTGCACCGTTGCAATCTGCAATGAATGCAGCGGCAAGGCTCATTTTCCTGTTTGCTCGCACCTCCCACGTCTCCCCACTGTGTCAGTCCCTACATTGGCTTCCAGTTAGATATAGGGCTCAATTTAAAATTCTGGTGCTTGCTTACAAATCCCTGCATAATGCTGCTCCAATCTACCTATCCTCCCTAATACACAAGGGTGCTGCACAAATTCGATTTGATAGCCTAGAGTCGATTTGATAGCCTAGACCCAAACATCCTAACATGTCTCAAGCATCGAAAAAAATGAAACAGGGGTTTTCTAATCCTAGCCGGAATGTACTTGGCCACATGGTTAGAGGGGTACCACTCCGCTAACCTTGGGTTCTGTAGGGCATTGGGGTCAAACAGGGGTTCCCCTTGTGGATCGAGGAAAGCAGGGTTCTCCGCATTCTCTTTAGCAGTAAGTACTGGCCTTGCAGACAAACTGCGGTCAGGAGATGAATTAATGAATAGAGCCGATCACATCGTAGTCGTCAGAAGCCTCTTCAGAATCGGAAGAATCAGACAGGGCTTTTGCCCTCTTCCATGTCCGCACCGCTTTTGCCCAGCGGGTGGCTCTTTTACGTGGGGGCACCACGTCATAAATGATGACAGGAACGTCACCTGTCCGTATGTACACTTTTGGAGGTGTTTTTGCCCGTGTAGTGGGTCTTTTTAGTTGCCTTACGGCTGCTAGGGAACAACGGCTTATCATCAGAGGCCTTAGGGAGTGTCAAACCAGAAGCCTGGTTAGATGCCATAATAGCATACGATACGGAGTGGGACAGATTGTCCGACATATCTCCCATTGCATTATACATGGACTGGGTGACCGATTTGGTCATGATGTTGTCTAATAGCGAATAAAACTCCTCCAAGTTCATCTTCTCCAATGACGCTTCGTCCTCCCCCTGGTGGGTAGGGTGTAACGGATCACCTGGCACCCCAACTGGGTACCTCCGTTGATGGATGCTCCTAGCACTTCTTGAGGACTCCAAGCACTCTAGCCAACACCACAACCACCGCAGGCCAAACCTCTCTTCCTTCAGAGAAAAGCAAGAACGAGCTCTTAAAAGAGCTTAGGAGTGATTACAGAAGGGGAATATAGAGAGCATAACAATCCCTTGTAGCAGATTCCCCCAATAAGAGACAGGACTCCAAATTGAGGGTGAAGTAGAACTGTCTAAAACTTCATTTTACTTGGGACTAGCCCATATAGTCATTACATTAACATTGCTGTGAAAACTCAATAAAATTACAAACAGTCAAATCATAGCAGGCAACATACAGTGACTTATTATAACATAATTACATATTTATAAATGGGTGGAGAAGACCATATTTAACACAAAATGTCTCTCCTGCATGCAGAATTAGCGATATGCAAATCTACCCGAATATGCAAATTACCAGTCTTGCTATTCAGGTAGTGCATATTACTGTTGCTACCAACAGAGGGCACTACACAAGCTCCATAGCCAAATCCACCTAGTTGGTAGCAATCCTCAGCAGTACAGGAGAGTAGGCAATACATCCCAGGGGCCATAGTCACATGGCAGGAGGCTGGCAATCAGTCTTCTGCAATGCCCAGTGGCGAGGCTGGTTCCGCCACATAGGGGGTCTATTTGGAATAGGGGCTAGACGCTGCCTATTGACATTCCCAGAGGTGTTAGGAGCATTAACCTCCAAATCAGTAGGTGTCTGCACAGTGGCGGAGCCAGAGGGGGGGCAACGGTGCAATTGCCCCCCCCCCCCGAGATTCTCCCCTGCCAGCTAATGCAGGGCTGGCATTGTTCAAGTGCCATCCCTGCAATGTGCCTGCGGACCGGGGAGAGAGATCAGAGTTCTCCCTCCCCGGTCCGGAGGCACTGTGCTGACAGCCGGCAGGGAGGGAGAGAGAGAGGACCAGGGAGTTCATCCTGCAGCTCCTCCGGGTCCTACTCTCGCGAGCACGGAGCATTGCCGCGGTTACCACGGCAACACTCCAAATCTCGCGAGAGTGAACTCTAGTCCTGGAGCTGCAGATTAGAGTTCACTGGAACCACCAGGGATTCCCCACCGGATCACCAGGAATCCAGAAATGTCCCCCTTCCTCCCAGTAAAGGTAAGAAGGGACATAATGTATATTTATATTATTAAATAAAAATAAAAAAAATTATTTAAAACATTATTTAAAAACCTCCCTACCCTCCTCCCCCCATGCACACACTGCCCCACACACTGCACACCCATAGACACATTGCCCCACACACTGCTACCCCCCCATATACACACTACCCCACACATACATACAGTGCCCCACACACACACTGCTACCCCCCATACAAACACTACCCCACACATATATACAGTGCCCCACACACACACTGCTACCCCCCATACACACACTGCCCCACACATACAGTGCCCCACACATACATACAGTGCTCCCCATATACACATTGCCACCCATACACACACTGTCACACATACACACATTGCCCCCCATACACACGTACACTGCCCCATACACACAGTGCCCCCCATACATACACTGCCCCACACACATACGGCGCGCCCCATACACACACTGCCCCACACACACATACAGTGCCCCCATACACACACTGCCCCACACACACATACAGTGCCCCCATACACACACTGCCCCAAACACACATACACTGCAAGCCTCACACACTGCCCCTCTACACACACACACTGCAGCTCTCTCACACACACACTGCCCCACACATTCACTGCAACCCTGACATACACTGCCGCCCTCTCACACTCACACACACACACACTGCACCTTTCACACACACATCACCCCTCACACATACCACTGCTCCTATTCCCTATATCCCAGCAGACCCCAGGTAAGTTGTCAAACTGTTCTTAAACGGTTTGACTACTTACTCTGGGATGGGATCCTGGCACTACTGGTATCATAACTACTACACTGAGCTGTAGTGATTATTGTGCCTGGATTTTTTCTTTAAATAATCTACAAGTGCCCCTCCCGAGATCAGGCTCTGGATCCGCCACTGGGTCTGCATGGTGACAATATGTAGGGCAGCTAGCACTCTTCACACTAGGGATGAACTATAGGAAAGGATCTTGTCAAAGAAGGAGAACTGGGTTGAAAGCAGGGGCTGTCAGGCACAAGACACAATAATACAACAAGGTATACTGGTCAGCTTACTCAGTGTTCCCTCAGGAATATCTTTGGAGGAGCAGTGGCAATGTGCCCTGCCACACAGGCAGCCAATCAGCTCGCACAAAAGAGCGGCGGAAGCTGAGATAAAATGTAAGTGAATATCCGCAAATAACAGGTAACGTTCCCAGAGTAAAATTTGATGGTACTTAGCTGAGGCAGCAGCAAAGGAAGATAAGTGGCTTAGGGTCACATGGGAGTATATGGAATGTGGACTGCTCTGATTGGCTATATGGTTAACCCTCTGAGGGTACTTGTTTTGTTTTTTTCTATGAGTATCTTAATATCCTTTCTTTGCTGCTGAGGAATAAAGAAAGAGATAAAGCATAATATGAGCCTCTGTGTTCTTTAATAAAATCAATGGGTTTTGTTGATTTAGTGTGTGAAGGACCCAGAGTGTGTATGGGAGATTGTGTGTGTGTGTGTATATAGAGGATTCAGAGTGTATATAGGGATCTAGTGCGTGTATGTGTGTGTTTGTGTGTAGATTCGTTGATCCAGAGTTGGGTAAGGAATCTAGCATGTATCTGGAATGTAATGTGTGTAGTAGTGCAGTGTGTGTTTGTGAGGGGTGCTGTAGTATATATATATATATATATATATATATATATATATATATGCTGTACATCCATATTCATGGGGTATGTTGCTATACAGTGATGCAACATCACATGTAACCAGCAAAAAATTTCTTCCCATACACAGTCGTTAAGCATATTTAATACTGCTATAGTATCTTTTATATAGGATCTCGTTTTCTGTACCATAGGTTGAAGTTGTAGATCTATATAATGGGATAGTCTACTGGATATTGCATCTATCCCTGCCACTATAGGTCTACCTGATGGATTGGTGACACTTTTGTGTACTTTGGGTAAGAAATAAAAAACCGGAACCTTCGGATGTGGAATATTTATAAACTCAAATTATTTTTGACTGAGTACTCCTACATCTTGACTTTTTTTTAGATAGTCTCTAAATTTCACTTGGATCTCCAGACATGGATTCCCTGTCAGTTTTTTATAAGTTATTCCTTCTGTTAAAATCCTCATGGCTTCCTTATTATAAACTTCCTTAGTCATAATAGCTATGCCCCCCCCCCCTTATCTGCTGGTTTAATTATCAACTCTCCATTACTCTTCAATTCTATAAGAGCTTTTTTTTCTTGTATATTCAAATTATCCTGAAAATTCTCTTTAAGATTTAATTTTTTACATTCATTTAGAACCATAGTGTCAAACATGATCATTTTATCTGAGATCATCTGTTTAGGAAAAAAGTTAGATTTATTTTTCAAATTCGTATGTCTAAATTCATCCTCCATTTGTATCTGTCTTTCCATAGGATTTTTAATGAAGAATTTCTTCAAGCAAAGATTTATTTTAAATTTATTCAAATCTATATATAGATCAAAGGGATTTATATGTTTACTTGGGGCAATTTTTAACCCTTTCTTAAGGATCTTTAATTGGTCCCTAGTTATAGAGATATCGCTAAGGTTATAAATTCCCATCTTACTAATATCACCATTTAGATCTATATCTTCTAATCTTTTTCTTTCCTTTCTCTCTTGTCTTTCTTTAACTCTCTTGTTTTCTTAGGTTTAAGGAGTAGTCCTTCCTTTGATCTTCTTTGTGTCTTTCTGGAAGACGACTCCTCCAAAAATCCTGTTCCTCTTCTCTCTCCCCTAAAATCTGGTAACGATTTTGAATTTCTAAGGGTTCTTGGGCATATGGCTGGTATCTGACTTTATCTTTCTTATGATAGGGACACTCATAAGTAGAGATCCTATCTCTCTCTCCATAAAGTCTATTACCTCTTCTCCCTTCATTTTGTATATTTTCTCTCTGGGATCTAGGGTTAGGCCGATACTTTTTTTTCACTGACCTCCCATTCTCTTTTATCATTTGTGTTATACATCTTCCTCTGGGTCTGTTTTTTTCTCATAAGGCTCTTTATGATTATTTTGGTGTAAAGAATGTTTCTTATATCTTGATTCATAAGTAGGCTGGGATATATATTGTCTCGGATTTTTATATCTTTCTGTCCCTCTAAAGTTGCCTTCTCCGGATTGACCTTGATATTTAGAAAAGGATCTTACTTGTTTATTTTTATAGTCTCTTATATCTCTCAAGTATTTATTTCTCTTAATTTCTACTACCCCTCTCTCTACTTTGTCCAGATTGTCTTTTATTTCTTGTGTTATACAATCAAATTCCTCCTGATTCAAAGCATTAAGAATTTCTTCCTGACATTTATTAATTTCCACATCTAGCTCCTTAAGATTCTCTCTCTTCCTCCTAATAATCAGCTGCATCGTGGTGAATGAAAAGCTTTCTAGCATATTATGCCAATCTTCCATAAAGCCCATATGTTCTTGATGAAATGTGGGCATTTTAAAATAGCGTAAGCCTCTTGGAGTAATTTTCTCTCCTATATATTTTTCTAAAGTGGCTATCTCCCATTTTATCTTTAGTTCTTTTTGTAAATGTTTATCTAATTTCTCACTAGTTTTATTAGGTTCAATTATTCTTCTACTATCTGGTTTCTCTACCCAGTTAGCAAATTCGATAGCCATTTCTTTATGAATATTATTTCTTTTATCAAATAGAGACATCAAAAGCTGCCTTGTATATACAGGAAAGTAAGAAAATGTACAAATAATAAAACTATATACTGGCGCTCTATTAACAAAGTATAAAATAAATGGACATGTAATAGCTGCTATATCACCACGTGTAGTCTTTCCTCATACACAAAACATAAACAAAATACATAAAAAAAGGTGTAGCGCTACATACAGATATAGAGTCGTCCAAAGTCTGAATATCTGTCACTCCAAAAAATGGAGACCACAATTGTGAAATAGTGTCCTAGAAAAGAAATTATAAACTCATAGTGTGACACTGTAATCAAATATGAAAAAACAAAAGGTCTGAATGGAACCACTCACATATTACTGAGCTAATAAACCTAGCTCAGGAGTAAAAGCTCCTAGGTCCGTGAAGGCGACTGTGACGGAACGCTGGCACTCCGACTGAGTACCTCCGCCAATCGATGCTCCTAGTGCTCGCTGGTTGCTGTACGGGGGAGGGATCTACCATCACCTCCTCCTGGAACTCAGGCCGCCGCTGGGGAGAGAGACCGGTTGTCTCTTCCCTCTGTACGGTGCACTGCCTCTGGGAAGGGAGGTCGCTGCTCTCCTCTCCCTGTAACTCACTCTGTCGCTGGAGACGGGGTGTCAATACCCCCAAACTCCACAGTTGGTACTCGTAGTTCCGTGCGTCTTGGTTCTCAGCACTCAACAGGCGCATCACTTGATGGACCACCTCATCTGAAGGGTTTGGGCCAAACCAGACCAGCCGCGCCTTTACTTCCTTCATGAAATCAGCACCCTCATAGCACTGTGACAGGCGGATTTGCAATTCACTGGCTGCTGTCCAGGGTCTTGCTAGCTCCATGTTGCTGTAGGTAGGGACGCTGCGCAGAGGCTAGCGTTGCCCTCAATTATAAATCCGTAACTCCACACATTACCGGTGTCTCTGAGCTGCTGGTCCTCGCACTAGGACGCCATCCCACCGCTGCCACCAAATGTGACGGAACGCTGGCACTCCGACTGAGTACCTCCGCCAATCGATGCTCCTAGTGCTCGCTGAGGACTCCAAGCACTCCAACCGACACTATCAGCACTGCAGACCCCACTTCCAGCGATGCAACTGCGCCGGGGTCTCTGCTGTTTCCACCCACCCTGGACCCAAGGCCAGGATCCAGCTTCCAGTGGGTGAACCTCTCTTTCCCCAGAGAGCAGGAACAGGAACAAATCAAGCTATTGAAAGAGCTTCCTCTGGGGAGTAAGTGATTATAGCAATCCCCAGAGTGTAGGTATCCCTTCCCCCAAACATGAGCCAAGGCTTAATGCTGGAACAAGACTGATTTACTGGCACACAGAACTCACAATTTATGCAACACAAAACTCCTCCTCTGGGCCAGGCTAGATAATTGAGTTTCTACAATACACAAAGCTCAATTATCTGCTGGCCAGACATAATACAGTTTCATATAACACACAGGGACCCCAAAACATGCAATAACCCCATAAAAAGTATATCCTTGGAACCGGGGGATCTGGGTGAACCACATATCCAAAATTCACCCAGATCCGTTCAGTACTTTGGAAAATACAATTTAATGCAGATTCTGCAGAACATATACAGGCTAAATGAAAAACAATTACTGTATAATGTGTCCCCTGCTGTATAGTCCAAAACCACTGCACGATGTCTCTGTGCACCAAATACTGGCGAGATGGCACCGTGTTGAAAAGTCCAAACAGTGTCTGTGAGTTAAAATGGCCGCCATCCATTGTTCTCACCATGTGCTTCTGATACAGGAAATGGTGGCCACCCAGTAACTCCACAGTATGTCCCCAGATGGTTCTTAAAGGGCCAGCAGCAGCACAACACAAATCCATTTTGCCCAAATCATGTCTTTAAAGGGCAATACATCCCAGGGGCCATAGTCACAGGGCAAGAGGCGGGCAAGCAGTCCTCTCCAGGCACAAGTGGCGAAGGGCACTTCGTCACAGCGACCTTTCCCCTTCTTTAGTAGACTTCTTTCCCACGCTGTTGTTAGGGCTCAAGCAGAGAGAATATATGGTGCAGTATGATATAGAACCAATGTCATAGAGGTAATATAAATGTATATACTCACAAATATGGAGCCACTCTATAGGCTCTTTTCCAGTGCGTTATGTAGTTAAGGACTATACTCCTATATAGCAGGAACCAATAGCCCAATGTGATCAAATCAAATATTTATTGTAAGAAAAAAAGTAGATTTAAAATTCCAATGGCCAATTAGAATCTGTAAAAATACAATACATACACATATATATAGAAAGGGCATAAAGGTGGTATATAAAAAGTCCCCAGGACGCATTTCGCCAACTTAAAATCGGCTTCCTCAGCTGGGTGTAACGTGCAATACCTTCTTTCTCCTGCTCGGAGACCTGCTATATACGTTGTCCATAATTGCAGGAACGCCGCTCAGCTGTTCTTTTCGGCGCGCTACTACTGCTTCTATCTCGGCAGGCACTGTGTGTGTTCCAAGCCTCTTTCTCGTTGCGGTTTACTTCCGCATATGTCATAGTTTTCATTAACCCCATCGTATCATGTCCTCCTGCTTCAGAACATCGAGCTTTCCTTATCGAGTATTCTCAAGAATATAAACATATCGCAGAAATAAAAAAGGAAGTAAGAAAAGGGGCTGTGTATAGATATTCAGAGATATAGAGTCTTAATAAAATAATAGAATAATAGGCATATCTAATCCTCAATCTTTTCAAAATAAATAAACGGTATTCTTTCATTTCTCTACTTTAAATGAAAAGCATTTCTTCAATTATTTTATATACTATATCTATCTGTATTTCATCACCAAAACATCAGTTATTTTGACCTTCTTGCAAGAATTTACATGTGAAGATACATTTGTATATCTTTACAAATATGTCAGTGGTGTATCCAAAAAGTATCTTTGTGAGTTTTCAGTGCAAGTGAATTAGTCTCTCTAAAACAACATAATCAATTACATTTAATCACCATTTTTATATAGATTTTTTTGTTTTTTTATTTTTTATATTTACTTCTTTATATGTTGATTTTATATACATGTCTCACCAAAAAAACTCTAATTAATTAATATTTAATCATATTTCTAATCAATTTCATTTGATCCTATTTCTATTATTATATAGTACTTTATTTATACTTATTTATTCTATATAAACCATTATATTTAAATCTATAGTCAAAGAGTTAGTGTTTTTATTTGTTTAAATTTCTATAGAAAGGAAATTAATATTATAATTTATTCTAAAAAATTACAGATTTCGAAATCGGAATTGAGTCCATAGGGGATAAGAGTATTTAACTCAAAAATCCATTTCATCTCCTCTTTGCTCAGTTTCTGGTTGAATCGCCCCCCCTCCAATCTTTTTCTACTCTAATTAATCCTAAAAAAGAACTACCTAACGGGGATTGATTGTGGTGGATTTTATAATGGAGAGGTACACTATGATTTTCGGCCCCTTTCATTATATTTCTACTGTGTTCTTCTATCCTAATGTGGAGTGGTCGAGTAGTTTTACCCACATAGTTTAAACCGCAAGGGCATTGTACTACATAAATCACATTATTTGTATGACATGTAATTACTTCTTTTATTTCATATTCTTTTTTTGTTATACTCCTAAAACTGGTGATTTTTCTTTTTCTATTTCCTGTTCTTTTACATGCCAGGCACTGGCCGCAACCAAAAAAAACCTTTTCTTGATTGAGAAATGTGTTCTGGTTCTTCTTTTTCCTAATGTGACTAGATGTTAAAATATTACGTAAATTTTTTACTCCTCTATGCACAAATTGAGGTTGTACTGGTAATATTTTTTCGAACAATGGATCTTCACGAAGAATAGGCCAAAATGTATTTACAATTTTTCTAATCCTAAAGTTTTCCGTACTATAATTGCAAATAAAAGGTACTCCTTCTTTGTTATGTTGTGTGTGGTCTTTATATTTTAAAAGATTATTTCGTTCTATTTCTTTAACTTGTATCCGAGCTTCTTCTAATTTAGTGTCCTTGTATCCCTTATCCAAAAAATCTAATTTAATCTTCATTGACTGTAAGATATAACTCTCCAAATCTGTGCAATTTTGCCTAATGCGAAGAAATTGACCTTTAGGGGCATTCTCCAACCATGGAGTAAAATGTCAACTTTCCCTTTCTATGAAACTATAAGCATCTACCGCTTTAAATTTTTTTTCCTCCTTCTATAAAAATAGTAAAATCTAAAAAAGATATTTCTTGCTCGCTCCAGGTACTGGTAAGGTTAATACCCTTACAGCCCACCCACAATAACTGGTTACTACACCTGGGTAGAGGAGAACTTTGCCCACATCCAGGTGCCTCACCCTGACTGTGTGGGTGACTGGTAAGCTGACTTGGTGGGTTGCTGAGTGGGCAGAGACCAGCGGTACTCTGCCCTGGTGCCAGCACTACCATGGGAGTAGTCTGGTTGGAACCTGGTGGCTGGAGGGGGAGACCGACTGTCTCCCCTTTAGATACACAGCTCAGCTGCCGTAGGAGGAGACCGACTGTCTCCCCTTTGGCTAAACAGCCCTGTCGCTGGGGGGCAGGACCGACCGTCCCTACCCCCTGTGCTGGCAGTGTAGAGACTACGGTCCCATCTGCACGGTTGTGTGGCTTACTGTCTCCCCTTTGTACATTAAGCTGCCGCTGGGGAGAGGGGGTAACAAGCTCCTCTCCCATACATACTTCCAGCCGCGGGGGAGGGAGACCGACTGTCTCTGCTCCCAATGCAGAGTCCTGCTGCTGGGGAAAGGAGACTGGGCTCTCTATTCCCGGTAGGACACTCTGCCGCTGGGCAATGGAGACTGGGCTCCCAATTCCCTGCTGTATCTCCCACTGGGGAATGGAGACTGGGCTCCCAATTCCCAATAACTCATACTGCCGCTGGGGAATGGAGACTGGGCTCCCAATTCCCTGCAATTCACTCTGCTGCTGGGGGACAGGAGCAACTATCTCTGTCCCCTGTAACTCAGCCTGCCGCTGGGGAATGGAGCTTGGGCTCCCAATTCCCTGCAATTCACTCTGCTGCTGGGGGACAGGAGCAACTATCTCTGTCCCCTGTAACTCAGCCTGCCGCTGGGGAATGGAGCTTGGGCTCCCAATTCCCTGCAATTCACTCTGCTGCTGGGGGACAGGAGCAACTATCTCTGTCCCCTGTAACTCAGCCTGCCGCTGGGGAATGGAGCTTGGGCTCCCAATTCCCTGCTGTATCTCCCGCTGGGGAATGGAGACTGGGCTCCCAATTCCCTGCATGACCGGTGGAGAGACCTCGGTCCCATCTCCACCAGCCACCTAGGGTTCTTCCCAGTAACACTCTGCAATATCTGCCCAGCTGAATGGGTCTGGATCTGGGTCTCCACTTCCCTGCTGAGCCTTCTCACTGGAGTGAAACAGATCTTGGTAGCCCTGCTCCAGCTCCATCTCTCGGGTCACTAGGTGGACCAGGTCTCAATCTCATGAGTGTCGTCCCAGTCATACCTGCTCTCCCTCCACTCCAAGAGATCACTGAACCGGGCTTGTGTAGGGCTCCCAAACTGAGGCTCTGAAAAGCCTCCCATAACAAGCCAAGACCATCAAACTCCTCTCCCTCTGGCTTGTCATGCTCGGCTGTCCAGGGCAGGTACTGTGCCCCATACCACCAGAGCACCTGGTATGCATCTTCCAGCCACATCTCCTGCCATACCCGGAACTCCAATTCCTTCACCCATTCCTCCAGGGGCTGCTCTCCCAGGAAGGGCATCCACAGGGCTAGTCGCTTCTGCAATCGCTGGTCTTTCTTGGGGAGTCTCTCACCCCGCTGGTCCTCCACAATACCCAGTGCCTGGTACCAGATGCCTTTGCAAACTGCATCTCGGTCATCCATGACACCTTCATCGTACTCCACTGCTGGTTTCATCCTGGTGCTGTCAGGGTCGCTGTACTCAGACATGCGTTGCCCTCAATTTGTAAAATCCAAAGAAATGTTGTCTCCTGTAGCTGTCCTTCTGGCTGTAGGAACCATCCCGCCGCTTGCCACCAATTGTAACGGCACCCCCAGGCATAAAAGGGTTAAACCGCCATTTAGAAGATCTTCCCCTTCTAGAGATACAGGCACAGCTACTGCAGAACACCAAACTCTCGAACTGCATACAAGGGAATGCTCCAAACTCCCGAACTGCATACAAGGGAATGCTCCAAACTCCCGAACTGCATACAAGGGAATGCTCCAAACTCATGAACTGTATACAAGGGAATGCTCCAAACTCACGAACTGCCTACAAAGTAGCACTCCAAACTCCCGAACTTGAACCTCACGAATAGCTGCTAGCAGACGAACAGGAAAAGCACCCAAGCGGCTTACACTCCTGGCAATCAGTCTCTAACAGCATACAGTAAATCCCTCCAAAGACGAGACAGAGCTCCGTGTTGAGGGTCAAGCAGTGGTCTGATTTATTGAGGGCTACCTGCCCAGTATTTATGCAGGTCTCCCACCTGGTGGACACTCCCCTAGGGGACCAAATGGGAGACTGTGACAAAGGACAGACATGAACCAATGACAGACACACAGAGGTAAAACCTCCCCACAATGCATCCTAACTTCCCTCCCTCTGTCCTGGAGATAATTGGGAAGTAATCCAATTATCTCCCAGGACAGAGGCAAAACTCCATTAACCACATGGCAGTAAAAGACAGTAAAAGACATAAAAATGTACAAAGTTACAACTGTTGCACAAAACATATACATTCTACCTATCCCCAGATAGCTTAGATCTGAGCACACAAAAGTACCGAATAGCGCTCAGATCCTATGCACACAGTCCAATCGCCGTGGAGTTAAAGTGTTCACAAAGTCTGTTCTCCATACGAATAGACTCCACGGGATGGCTATCTGGGGTAATGCTGTTCATACAGTTTAAACTACCGAATGAACAGGCATCCGGTTAAATGACCGAATGCAGAAGCAAGAAGACTTTTAACATGGGGCCATAGTCCAAAGGCAACAGGCGAGCAACCAGGCTTCTCCAATGCAATGTGGCGAGATTGGTCTCGTCACACAGTGTGTTGGGTGTACTGTGTGTATGTGTGAAGGGTGCAGCATGTGTGTGTGTGAGGGGTAGTGTGTGTGTGTAAGAGGGGTGCTGTGTGTGTGAGGGTGGTGTGTGTGTGGGTGCTGTGTGTAAGTGTTGTGAGTAAAAGGGGCTGTGTGTGTGAGTGTGATTGTGCTGAGTGAGTGAGGTTGCTGTGTGTCTAAGGGTGCTCTGAGTGTGAGAGTGCTGTGTGTGTCAGAGTGCTGTGTGTGAGAGGGTGCTGTCTGTGTGTGGGTGCAGTGTGTGAGGGTGCTGTGAGTGTGAGAGTGCTGTAAGTGTGTGTGAGGGTGCTGTGTGTGTGTGAGGGTACTGGGTGTGTGAGGGTGCTGTGAGTGTGTGAGGGTGCTGTGCAGGGCCGGACTGGCCCACCGGGACACCGGGAAATTTCCCGGTGGGCCGCAGTTCCGGCATGCAGACATGGCCAGCCTTAGGGTTGTGCGAGCTGTGCGGCCGCACAGTGCACTGAGCGGCTGACACAGCTTGGAGATCCCCAGTGCAAAAGGGGACTTTCCTCTGTAGCAGAGCCTCTGTCGGGGGATAGAACGCAACCGCACGGACTTGCATGAAGGCTCGTTCCGGGGGAAGTGACGTCATGAATCAAAGGGCAGCACGGGCTCTGCGGAGCTGCCATGATAAGCAGTACAGGCAGCACACTGAGTTAATGAGCCTCTACATCAGGTAGGGGAGGTCCTCATTATCAATGGCTGGGATAGGGCTGGAGTGGGGGAAATCAGGAGTTTAGAGGAGATTGGGGTACTATCTATGAGGAAGGGGGTTGAGGTACTATCTCTGAGGAAGACGGTTGGGGTACTATCTATAAGGAAGGGGGTTGGGGAGCTATCACTGAGGAAGACGGTTGGGGTACTATCTCTGAGGAAGGGGGTTGGGGTACTATCTATGGGATGAGGGATTGGGGTACTAACTTTGATAGGGGGGTCTGGGTACTATGGGAGAGAGATTGAGGTACTATCTATGGGGAGATGGATTGGGGAACTATCAATGAGGAGTCGGATTGAGGGACAATGTATGAGGAGGGGGATAGAGGTACTATCTATTAAGAGGGCGATTGGGGTACTATCTATGAGGAGAGGGATTGGGGTACTTTCTATGAGGAGGGGGATTGGGAGACTAACTAAGAGGACAGGGATTGGGGTACTATGATATGGGGCCTGGGGTACTGACTATGAGGTGGGGGATTGGGGTACTAACTATCTATGGGGAGAGGGATTGAGGTACTATCTATGGGGAGATGGATTGGGATACTATCTATGAGGAAGAGGATTGGGGTACTAACTAAAAGGAGAGGTATTGGGGTACTATGATAGGGGGGTTGGGGTACTAACTATCTATGGAGAGAGGGATTGGAGTACTATCTATGGGGACATGGATTGGGATACTATCTATGAGGAAGAGGATTGGGGTACTAACTAAAAGGAGAGGTATTGGGGTACTATGATAGGGGGGTTGGGTTACTGACTATGAAGTGTGGGATTGGGGTACTATCTATGGAGAGATGGATTGGGGTACTATCTATGAGGAGGGGGTTGGGGTACTGACTATTAGGTGTGGAATTGGGGTACTGACTATTAGGTGTGGAATTGGGGTACTATATATGGGGAGAGGGATTGGGGCACTATCTATGGGGAGGAGGATTGATGTACTATGAGGAGGGTACTAACTACTATGAAGGGCAGAGGCTTCTACCCATAAGAAATATGGAAGAAAATGGACTATAAGCTATGGAGCAGGAATGGGCTGCTAGCTATCGGAGATGGGAATGGGCTACAGACAATGAGGGATACAAATTCACCACTTCATTCACGCAGACAGTACCTACCATTCACAAAAACACCTTGACCCACTACATACCTACGCACCTTTAAGCACATAAAACATCCAGACACGTTCCTGCATTCACATACCGACTCTCCACACACACACACGTCCCTGCATTCACACACTGACTCTCCAAACACGGACTGTCCCTACATTCAAACACATTGACCTGCTACATATATATTTACGTGTATCCACACAAACTAAATATAAATATGGCCCTGCTTTTACACACACACAAAACTATCAATACAAATATGTCCCTGCATACACACAAACTGAAGTTGTGTATATGCTTGAATACATAAAATTTAATTAAAAAACAAATACTGTTCACAAGCATTTGAGGTGGCTCATAACGTTTTAAACCTGGCTGGCAACTCAACCCCTTCTTATCTGCATTCACACACCAACATTCCCTTGCACTCCACTATCCTGCTCCAGTTACTAATTTATAAACATAGAATATATATATATATATATATATATATAGTAAAAATGAAAATGTTACTCCTATATGTATGTATGTATATATATATATATATATATATATATATATATATATACACACATATACACACTACATAGCACAATGACTTATGGGGCTGGCATACATTTTGTTCCATTGCTGCTTTGTATCCCCAGTCCGGCCCTGGTGCTGGATGTGTGTGAGGATGATGTGTGTATGAGGGTGCTGTGTGTGTGTGCTGTATGTGAGTTTGAGGGTGCTGTGTGTGTGCTGTATGTGAGTATGAGGGTACTGTGAGTGTGAGGGTGATGTGTGTATGAGAGTGCTGTATGTGTGTGTGAGGGTGCTGTGAATGTGCGGTTTGTGTGTGAGGGTGATGTGTGTGTGTGGGTGCTGTGAGTGAATATGTTTGGAGAGGGGACAGATTAATTTGAATATAATAAATATGTATTTTTTTTGTAAATAAAAAACAAACAAACCTTATATTCCCCCCCTTACCTTTTGACTGGGGGGAGGGAGACTGCCATCCCTGGTGGTCCTAGTGGTGAGTGAACTCTAGACTGCGGCAACGATCTAACCTTGCGAAAGGAACCTGGTGGTGCTGCTGGCTAGGGCTACCCTGGGTCCTCTCTCCCTCCCCAGCCGGCGGCCGCATGTCAGTACCTGTGGGCCAATGAGGCCTATGAAGGCGCACAGCAGGACTGGCACACGGATAGTGCCGGCTCTGCATGGGCCAACAGGGAAGATCTTGTGATCTTCCCTGCCGGCCTCAGCCCATGGCCATCGCGGCCTGCCGGGCATTTGCCCAGTATGCCAGATGGCCAGTCTGGGCCTGCCCCTAATACTTAGCCAGCATTATGTCTTTAAGAGCATTATGGGAGATGTAGTCCACATCATCTGCAGTGCTTAAGGTCGCAGGCCCTACTCTAAGGAATGCCCAGTCCTCATGTCACCCGTATATCAGGGAAATTGCCCCCACACAGTCAGCTATCCCCAATCCCTTGCTTCCTACCCAATTTAGCTTCACCACTGCCCCCCAAAAAATATTAGAAGTCTCCAACCTCTATTAACCATCTACTATGATTTGGGGGCTTTACTTTATCTTACTTTATCTTTATGGGGAAAAAAGGTTTTTAAGGACTGTAGATTACAACTATTTCAACTATTTAATTGACCATTAGTAAAATGACATGCAAGATGTTTATTCACTAAACAGAGAATTAGTAAATGGACTAACTACAGAATTGGAAAATAAAGGCAAAGAAGCATCCGGATTTCTCTCAGCTTTTTTTTTATTATAAAATGTGCAATTCAGTTATAATATCCCTATTTAGTATAGTATGTGATATAAATATGCAGTATCTGCATTTCTAAGTAAGTGTCTATATGATGGTAAATCATGAACTGATTAGCATTTTGGCATTACACATGTTAATAACAGCCCTCTCTCTGCCCACCCTCCAACTTCCAAAAAAAGGAAAAAACACTATAATTTTTTTTTTCAAGCACAAAACTGATATCCTGCACCTCCCCTAGCCCGTCCCATGATTTCCTCTTCACTTGTGGGATATTTTGAAAAAGGGATAGGGCATCAACTTGTCAAGCAGCTTTTAGTATTGTTTAATTCATACATGGCTCTGACTGCAGAGGCTGGCACCACTGTTCACCCATCCAACCTTTCCTGGCAAACAAAGGCAGTTGGAGTACTTGCAGGTAGACAATCCTCCATAAATATCACAGGTATGTACAGGGGCAAATGCTGGATACAGTCTACAAACATGTCTCCCTGCTTTTGAAATTTAAAATGCATAGTATAAAGTAATAATGCTTTATCTTACATTACAACTGAATCATTTTACATCACTTGAAATATAGATGTACATTTGTGGCTGTAGCATTAATGAAAATAGGTTGTACATAAACATCAAAGAATAGAGGAAGACACATTAGCAGAGAGTAACACTGTTTAGGGCCATACATTTTATGCATTCCACTGTCCACAATTCAACATTGGTGTGACACCAAAATGTGCTTTTTTTCCCATTTTTTATTTACGTTTAGACGGCAAGAGACATAACATACAGTGCATATATAAGCATACATATTATACAGGGTGGTCCAATTTTTAAGATGACAATACAAGGTGCCATCTCCTCAAAAGTGAGATAGAGGAGATTAGAGCATGAAACTGAAAAAAAGAAGAAATAGCGGAGAAAGATACCAGAAAGCAGAGATAGATAAGAAAGCTGTGAAAATGAGAACCAGAAGCCCAATCCACCAAAGGAAAAAAGGGCTATTTTAATATTAGTGCAGCATCACTATAGTACCATTAATAATGCAACCATTTTAAATGATGCTTCTAGGGATCGGGTGCATGTATCCATCCTGGTAAAATATTTTTATAAGTAAATAAAATTAGGATTGGAGTGAAGTTATGGTAAGAGCAAAAAAATCGCATGATCTTAATAAGACTTAACAAAATGTAACATACATGACATTTAATGCAAACATTACCATGCTTTACTTTTTTTTTTTACTTTAGCTTCAAAACGAGTTTTAATAAAATTATATAGAAATTGCAAAGGCTTTGCAGATTGTGACGTGCAAGTTAGTATATGTGCCCCTACAAGTAATCAATGAGTTAAATAGTACAGATGATTTTCAAGTCTAAAATAAATAGCAAACTTTAGCTGATTGGTTAACTTTTACCTCACATTTTATTTTTACATATTGATAGTGTTCAAATTAGGGAATCCTTTAGCAAACAGTCGATCTTGAGTAAAAGGAATGATGATTTAGTTAAATTGGAAAAAATTGCAAACCTGTTGCAACCTCACCTTAAACACATTGCTTCATAAAATGATCCGAGTAGTTATTTATCAAGTTATGTAAAGCATAGTTAACGAATAACAAAAAAATTAATTGCTGAAGTACTGCAAGTTCATATGCATGTTCAGATCAGTTACTGCAATTCTACGACTAATTCTCTCTGCCATCACCTGCATCACCTTCTGAATATGTTGGCGCTTTATAAATTCCGGTAAGCGTTGTTTAGCATTTTGAACTAGAATAGCACCTGTTTTCCCTTGATAAACCTTTCCTAGTGTGTTCCCATGGCGATTGTTCCACTCTTATAATTTTATCCGGGAACTGATTGTCCCTAATAATCCCACATATTCCAGAAACTAAGTGTAATAATCACAACAAATTTTCATCTAATTCCAAAATTGCTTTGATTATTACAGATATGTATAGTGATTTAAAAATATGTGATACATTACACTATGCTGAATTAATTCACTTAACAATGAATTGGAAAACAAACTACAAAATTAGCTGAACTGAAAGCACATTTTATTTGGAGAATTAGTTTTTTCCAACTCTGCATTTTTCCCCTTACACTTACAATTTATTTTTCTGTTTGTCACAAAAATTAAGACCTTGGCTACAAGTATAATATTTGCCAATGGTCTATGTTTTATTGTTGACTATTTCCAAAGAATCTCACGTTTTGTCCAAATTCCTTAATGGGAAAATATTCTCACAATTCTAGATGTGGTTATTTTAATATGAGATTGTATCCTGTTCTGAAATACCTGTTTCCTCTCTTACCAATATTTTGGCAAATCCGTAGTCAGTTAATTCAGCATGTTGATGCTATAGCTAGGAAGTAGAATAGAGAAACTCTGTCTTCACTGTTAATGTTAACCTATTTCTTACATTGACCTTGTGATGATGTCTAGGTATTGCAATGATGTATATGGAACAATAGTTGATGATAAAGTGCTACCCCTTAAACCAGTATTTATAAGTAAATCAAATATAAAAAAAAAAAAAACAATTTTGAAAGGTGTAATAATGAACATTTCTTGAATGGTTCACTCAATTACAATTAAGAATGTTACTTTCTAAATAGCTCACAAACAAAATTTATTATGGAAACCCTAAATTGAAAGATTTTGAAACATTTGTTAAAATAAGTAAGATGCCAACTCAAGGCTCCACATCAAGTTGCTAGTAAGGTACAGGTCCAATTTATTTTACATTTCCCATTGCATAACCTTTCCTCTATGTCATGTTTTCAATATAAATATTAGAAATATGGTGTGACAGGCAGGGATGTATTTACCACAAAGCAAAGAAGGTATTTGCCTAGGGCGGCACTTTCAGGTGGGTGCCAAAAAATGCCACCCAAGCTCCCAGATAAATGCCTTGTTTGCCTCATATTCTGGGGCTGCCCACCTTACTGTGAGTGAGTGTAGCTGTCAGTGTGTGTCTGTGAGTGAGTGGAAGTGTGTGGTTTTTCAGTGAGACTGGGTGTGCCTGTGAGCGTGTGTCAGTATGTGTATGTCATTTTATGTGTATCTGAGAATGTGTGCCTGTCAGTGTGTGTGTGTCTGTCATTAAAAGTGTGTGTTGGTTAAACCGTGTGTGCCAATGACTATATGTGTGTGCCAATGACTGTGTATCTGTCAGTGAGTGTATATCAGTGTATTTATCAATGAGGGCATGTGTCTGTCAGTCAAAAAAATAGCCTTGACACAAATTGGGGGGGGGGCAAATATAGATTTTGGGGGTGCCTGAGTTTAGCCGTGCCTACGGCAGCACAAATCCAAACTACACCACTGGTGACAGGATTGCATATGTACTGCCGCTCATCCTCATGTGATAGGAATTGTTGGAGGGCATGCTCAGCATTTAAAGGCTATGGTGGTTGCGGTTTTTATTGCAGCCATTTTTAGAGGAAAAACATTTGCTGCCAAGTTTAAGGCACAATGTATTGATATTGCATGAATGTTTTGATATTGAGTGAATATCAGGTACCCTTTAAAAGAGGACATGTTTTGCAGCCAGTAAAGGCACAACTATTTTAATTTAAAATAATAGAATGCTATTTTAGGGACCTTTATAAGTATTAAAATGCTTTAACAAGTAGAAGAATTCTGCTTTACCTGAATTTACCTACTCACCTGAATTTATAGGTATCATGATTTGTACATTGGATGTTTCTATTCAATGCACATTTGCTATTCTCACATTCTATGCACATCTTAGAGGAATATTAATAAACAATAAAACCAACCAGCTACATTGATTAGTTTAGAAAATACCCAACATACACACAACACTACCAGAAAAGATAGTAAACATTATACCATCTGTGTTTTATGCTAGAAGATTCACTTACAAATGTATAGATTTTATAAACAAACTACCATCATCTGTCAAATGGTTGTACACATGGACCTCTATCTATCTATTAATCAAGAATAAGTATTCAATTTTCCATAACTATTTGCCCATAAAATTATATAAGGGATAAATGTACTATTTGGATGAGTGAGCTTAACGGAGCTCCTTAATAACCTGTAAACTAAAAGTATTGGAACATATTTGACAACAGCTTGGGGAAGCTCAGATATACAAAGAGTTTGCGATGCTTGAAGTGTTTAATTATAATGTGCTGTATTGGCTATAGAGTTGTTGTGGTGACACAAAGATCAGAAGTATGAAATAATTGTGTTCTGTTTCATAGGAAGAAGATCTGATTATCATGGGAGATTGGGAGTTTCTCGAAAAGTTGCTAGACCAAGTGCAAGAGCATTCTACAGCCATTGGCAAGATATGGCTCATGGTACTTTTCATCTTCAGAATTTTAATTCTAGGTCTAGCAGGAGAGTCAGTATGGGGAGATGAACAATCAGATTTCACCTGTAATACAGAACAGCCTGGATGTACAAATGTTTGTTATGATAAGGCCTTCCCCATCTCCCATGTCCGCTATTGGGTTCTCCAGTTTCTGTTTGTAAGCACCCCTACCCTGTTCTACCTGGGACATGTGATCTACCTATCTAGAAAAGAGGAGAAACTAAAGCAAAAGGCGAGTGACTTGAGGGCTCTTGATGAGAAGGATCAATGTGTCGATGATGCCATTGCCGTTATAGAGAAAAAACGTCTAAAAATTTGCATTCAAGAAGATGGGAGAATAAAGATCAGAGGAGCCCTCATGGGTACCTACACAGTGAGTGTCATTATGAAAAGTGTATTTGAAGCTGGTTTTCTTTTAGGTCAATGGTATCTCTATGGCTTTGTGATGCCTCCACTCTACGTGTGTGAGAGGGCTCCATGTCCTCACAAGGTGGACTGCTTTGTATCTCGACCGATGGAGAAGACTATCTTCATAATTTTCATGCTGGTTGTGTCACTCATCTCTCTCTTACTTAATGTGCTGGAGCTCATTCATCTAGTTTGCAAGAGCATGTTGCATACCATGAAGAAGTATTCTCCCTATATCTCCAGCAATAAGTATCCCAGAGATGATATGTACCCAGGAAAATCCCCTGAAAATTCTGCAATGCCTTTCCAAGAGAAATCGTATCTCTACCTCCCATCCACTGACAATATTTCATATCCACCATACAAGATGCCAACTGAACAGAATTGGGTAAATTTTAAAACAGAGAATCAGTTGGCCATGAGTGGTGCAAACCAGTCACAAATGGGTCATTACAACCATAGTGCATTTACCCCCATCTCTCCTGAGCCCCACACAGCAGCTCAGAAGCATCCTAGCAGAGCGAGTAGCTCTGCATCAAAAAAACAATACGTTTAATAAAGCAACTTATAACATCACTTCAACCTGGGACTGTAATGCCAAGCTGGCAAGCACGCAGACAGACTTGACAGCTGACAGCTCCAAGTTACGAGAAAACTTTGGTGGCTTAAACTGCAAAACAGAGATAAGCTTGCTGCTTCCTGTGATTTTCAACAAAGGGCTGTGGAAGCCTTGAGGACTGTAGACTTTAAAAGTACAGAAAAACACAGTAAATAACAAAGCTGGGTTATCAGGAAATTTCTTTTAAAAAAGAAAAAAAAAAGAAAAAGGAATTACAAAGCTTGAAATGGAAGACTAGTGCCATGGGCATTGTGCTAGTTGCGTGCATTCATGTCTACACGTTTCCTGTGACCATTGCTAACTTTGTTTTTGGTTGAAACTTGTTTTGTTGCACTTAGTTAAGAGAGCTTAACTGTGAACTTCAAATTATTTATGTTTTGACTATTTACAACTATCCTTATCCCAGCATACACTTGTATCTGGAGCACTTTTAACGTGGAGAGCCATAAAAAAACTTTGTAATAGTTTGGAAACATCTTCATATTAAAATAGTGGAATGTTTGTAGTGATCAAATAAGATTGTGCAACTGCTGATCAATTTTTACATTATGGAGAATTACATGGTGAAATGAGAAGTATATTGCCAGTCCTAGTTTTGACCCACATTGTAATGATCAACAAGAACTGGTCCAAGAAGATGTCATGGATAGTTTCAACATTTTCAGCTCCATGACCGCACAAGTTTCTTCAAACCAATCTGCTGAATATGAAAAAAAAACATGAGTGAATGAACATTGTGACTTTTATAAAAGTGACTGCACTATTTCTTCACGTTAGTGAAATACTTATTCAGTCAGCATCATGTAGATAATTGTGACTTGACCTTTGTGTTTATTTACTTTCTATTATGAAATTTGTCAGGTTTTTTTCTTGATGGAAATCAGTTTTATTTGACATCAACATCTCATTTTAAATAAATGTGCAATGCAAACAATGTGTGAAATAAATGGCAAAAATAAATAGTTTTTGAATTTTAAAAATGCATGTGGCACATGCGTATGCATTTTACACAAAAATATTATGTCTAAATCTTAGAAAAACTGAATTCACTTCACATGCATTTTCTAAATTCATCATATTTATTAATAAGATGTTATTCTCTCATGTGCCCCCAACAAGCCCCAAAGGGCTTCACACCAATTACTCATACTGACACGCACAAACACACCAACATGCAGATTCAGTCACATCAAAGGCTCTCACACACAGACACACAGCACTTCACTTACTATGCTGTCTCATGGTCGGAATTTTACTGGCACAGCCGGTGTTTGAGACTGTCTGGTCAGTACAAGTATTGCAAAAATACTGACAATGCAAGATTCTGTGAGAGTGGTGAAAGAAATGAAGCCAGAATATCCACCTTTACTTTATATGTCAATGGGACAATGGGGTATACACACAATGACATCCACTTAGATACAGTAGACACACAGTGACACACACTCAAACATAGTATGCACACTACTATACACATTCAGTCAGACAGTTTGCATACAATGAAACACATGCTATACACACAATACATATGACATAGTACTGCACACACACTCAGACAACATACATACATGGACACAAACACACAGTATACACACCACTTTACACACATTGCTATACACCCTCAGAAACTGTTTACAGACTGCTACACATACACAAAGCTACATGTACATTCAGACATTCTATACACATTTTTTTTTTTTTATTTAGGGAATGTTCATCTTCCAAATGCATTTTACTTTCTCTGTTGTCACCACCTATGATGTTATTTAACATGTGATGATACCATGTCCTGTGATGTCACGCATATATAATCAATTATGCAAATTAGCATAGCCAGTATTTTTTTCCAAGGTGCCAACCATACCTGAAGCCCAGAGAGGGATGACGTGGCTTTGTGGCATTAAAATCCTAACACCACCATAGAGTTGCTTGAGAACTCACTCAATTACCTCCCCATAAACTTTCCAATTTATCCATTATCTTTAAAATATCTGTGGCCATTACCTCCATATTCTCCCTGTTACCTCTTGCCTCAGCTCCCAGATTTAAGGGATTGTAAGGTCATGGGCTACTTAGCCAAGTTCTTTGTATTAAATAACTTTAATTGTTAGATCTCAGATCACAGGGCCCTCTTTACCTTTTGTATTGTACTATCTTTGACCCCAATTGTACAGCGCTACGGAACACGTTAGTACTTTATAAATGTTCCCATAGTTTTATTATTATTTAGCCCCGACCCACTGCTCATGGATGTGTTGGCATTGGGGATAATGACATTCACGCCCATGTATTATTACATAGTCTTCATGGGTGGAAAGGAAAGAAGCAAAGTCCCGGCTGCCCATGTCCATTGTTCTCCCCCGTTATTATTTTAGAACCGGCACCTGAATCAAACAGGCGGCAGAAGGGAACAGTGACAGATCCACACTGAAAATTCCAGGTCCCATCCAACCTTAATGGAATACCCAGCCATTTAAGATTAATTTAGTATTTTGTGACTAAATCTAATATCCCTTGAGATAATTAACAGAATTTAAAAACCTTCAATGTTCCATTGGCATGAAAAACTATCAATGCATATAGTCTTAAAAAATAAATGCATGCAAAAAAACTGTCTTTGGGTTACCAGCACCTCATAATACCCAGCAGGAATCCCAGAATGGCACTCTTGTCTTCAACATGTAATGAGCTATGTGTTATGAATAAATGAGGATGGGTATATTCCCACCAAAAAACATATGAAATATATAAACAATAAGGTTGTTCGAGAAACATGTTACCAATGGGAGGAATAAGACCTTCTAACTCCTACTAATTCCTTACTAATTTGCAATGACAATAACATCGCCACTCAGGATCTGGAGGTTGGGGAGAGCAGCTAGAGGTGAGATTTAATTTTTTTTATTATTACTTATTATTATTTGGGTGCAGCCAACTTCTTCCTGCCACTCTTCTTCAGCTCCTGGTGCTTAAGCTGCCAAGAACCTACATCAGCACTGTACTCTTGCGCATTGATGTCTATGGAGGATCACACCAGACCTAAAGATTCTATCTTTATGAATTACTAATTTTGGAGGAGGGGTGACAGCGCCACTTTAATTGTGGTCTACATAGTTAGTTAGTCAATGCAAATGTTGCCTGTTTTCTCTGACTCTATGGCTAACACACTAGCACTTTTCGTTATTTAAAGGAACACTCCAAACACATAAAGAACTTAAGCCGATTTCAATAGCAATCAAAACTTTTATAAGTGGAGTTAGAACCAGGGAGGTTTTTTTCTGCTCCCGAAGCTAACTCATGGCCACCTTCCTCCCTTCTAAATCAGTTGCATCCCAGCTAATTGAGAAGCATTAAAAAGCTGCATTCGTATCTGCAAACTAGCGGCTCTGGCACACAGGCTTTTACATGAGAAGCCTTTGATTGGACTATTCTCCAACACAGGCTGAAATTCTGTGCTGGTGTGCTGGAAAAAAATGGGAGGTCTTGCAAAGGCTTCAAACTTGAGACCTGCAGCTTTTGCAAGCTGCTTTTAGATACACCTCAAATTAACTAAATGCATAAATAAATGCATAAATGGTTTCATATCGGGTGTATCTACTAAACAGTGATTTGAAAAAAGTTTTTTGGTGGGGTAAGAGAGTGTTTAGTATGTTTTCACTCTGATAAGCATAAGTACTAACAAGATGTTTTATCCTGTAACCCTTTTCTATAGTAATAGAATTCTGATGATCCAAATGGTCACATGGTCAGAACTCGGGTATCGCCCAAACTTTTTTGTTTGTTTGTTTTTAAAGTGGTTCAGGAAAACAAGTTTTCTTATTGTGCATAAGTCTAATAATGACATATTTCAGTCTCTGCTTTCTTAAAGGTCTCATGCATCATAAAGGGGAAGAAATATAAGGAAATGAGGGGGAGATTAATCACATTTTATTGTTCTGAAAAATGGTGCAATGTATTAAAAGTGAAGCAATCATTATTGGAAAAAAAAGGAACCAGCAGGCACATTCCATTGCTGACTTCACTAATTTTACATATTTGTGCCACTTTCCATAACTTGTCATTTTGATAAATCTATCCCCGAGGATCAAAAGATCCTACCACTAGAGATGTCGCGAACTGCTCGCCGAACTGTTCGCGAACTGTCCGCCGGCGAACAATAGCGTGTTCGCGTTGGGCGAACATATGCGATTTCCGGTCCGCCCACTATCCGTCATCATTGAGTACACTTTGACCCGGAACCTCACAGTCAGCAGACACATTCCAGCCAATCAGCAGCAGACCCTCCCTCCCAGGAAGTGTCTGCTGACTGTGAGGTTCCGGATCAAAGTGTACTCAATGATGACGAATAGGGGGCGGACCGGAAATCGCATATGTTCGCCCAACGCGAACACGCTATTGTTCGCCGGCGGACAGTTCGCGAACAGTTCGGCGAGCAGTTCACGACATCTCTACCTACCACTAGGGTGCAAGGGATGGGTCCTCTCAAGGAAAAATAAGCAAGCACATGACACAGTTCATGAGGATTTCTGCTTTTTCTTGTTGACAGACTAAGGAATAGAGAAGGTAGAGACAAATTAATACAGGTGGAGGAGCAGTGAAAATGGTAGAAACCTCTACAATTCGAATCCACTGTGTGGTGCTTTGGATGCTTATAATAGATCAATTGACAAAAGACTTCCAATTCTAGATTCCAGCGATTTTTAACTGAGACTTATAACTAAGTCAGCAATATTTGACCTAGAAGTGGGTTGCTCTTAAACTAGAATAATGGATTTATAATAGCAGGATATAATTATCTAGTCTAATTGCATAGGTAGCAAACGTGGATTAATCTTTAACAAATTAAGGTACAATGTTGTCAAAGATCAAAATAATGCTCCAGAAAAAACACCAAATTTAGAATTTGAAATGGAAGCTTAATCCAGGTGATGTAGGATTTTTGTAAATTTTTTTAATCAAGGGAAAACATGTAGAAAAACAGATATGGATCTCATGGTTCCATGATCATCTTCTGTATAACTCCATGGGTGCATTAAATAGATGATGGCACAGTACTCAGTAGTACTGGAACCTTGCATTAAAGTCACTATTTGAATTACTGGGTGTGGAAGGAGAAAGTACCTGAGATTCCTGGCTATGTCACAAATACACAATTAACAGATATGAGGGTGAGGATGCTAAAAGGTTTTTGTTAACACCATGTTGAAAAATCGTGACTTTCTCTAAAGAGCATCTGTCAGAGAACCTTTAAAGGGACACTATAGTCACCTGAACAACTTTAGCTTAATGAAGCAGTGTTGGTGTATAGAACATGCCCCTGCAGCCTCACTGCTCAATCCTCTGCCATTTAGGAGTTAAATCCCTTTGTTTATGAACCCTAGTCACACCTCCCTGCATGTGACTTGCACAGCCTTCCATAAACACTTCCTGTAAAGAGAGCCCTATTTAGGCTTTCTTTATTGCAAGTTCTGTTTAATTAAGGTTTTTCTTATCCCCTGCTATGTTAATAGCTTGCTAGACCGTGCAAGAGCCTCCTGTATGTGATTAAAGTTCAATTTAGAGATTGAGATACAATTATTTAAGGTAAATTAGGGATTATTCTAGCTTTAGTGACTGAATAATCTAAATTTTATTAACGACAGGAGGCGAATATTTGCTTCATCTTTCTTTACTGATCCTCCCAGCAGCAAAGAGATAGTTAACAATAGTATAAAACAATTCAACTAATCAGAGTGTATAACAGTATTATATGATGTCATCAAGCTCCTCCCAAATCATCTTTCTTGCTGAAGCCGACGACATCTGCGTATCAACAATAGAATCATAACTAAGAACTGTGGACTAGTTCGATGTCCTGGTGTAGTCAACCGTGTAAACTTTGATAGGATTGATGAATCCATG